TGCCATGAGTGAGTGTGGTGCATTTCATGGGAATGTCTGTTCTAAAGAAAATCCATGATAATTATTCTAATTAGGGCTGACCTTGAGGGCAGCAGCATTGTCATCCTACGACCCAGAAAGGCTAACGTTCAAGAATTTCCCAGGATGGAGTCTGAGCTAGACGCATTCATAGACATGAAGATGAATGTTCCTTTTTAAAATAAAATTTAGAAACCTTCACAAATTTGCAAAGAGGAAGCTGAATGAGGCTCATTAGCAGAATCCATTTTAAAAATGGTGTTATAAAGATTTAGGAATACTGTTACAGTTTGCAAATTTTTGTTTGAAAAATTGTAATTTATTTACTTGCAAGTTTCTCACTTCTAAATACATACAATGTAATAGTAACTAACTTGTAATTCAGCTAATGAATTCAAATGCCAGTTATATTGAATTAAATAATTCTAGTAATTGGGCAATTGCCAGTATGTTGGTTGTGATAGCTACTGTAAAAACCTGACTACTTCTCAAGATACAGGAGAAATTGTTTCTTCAGAGAAGTGTGTGCTGCCACCATAATCTAATGTGGAACACAAGATTTTCGGTCTCCCACTGGGGTGACTTCTTCACTCATCATGGATCCAAGTGAGCTGTGTCAGTGTTTGTGCCCTAGACCAGCCTCCTCCCATGCAGCTTCCTCAATAATTACGACAATGCTAATCACCTCATTCACTTCCTGAAGTAGCAGATTCCAAACTCTCACCACTCTTTTTGGTTAACAATTTTTCCAGAATTCCTAATTGGTTTTATTGGTGATCTATGATTCCAAATTCTGGCTTCTCCTGTAAGTAGAAACGTCTTACATTTACATTGAGAGGGGTTTAATTTCCAGTCACATTTCAACCTTCTCTTTTCTGGAGAATAGAGAGCCAGCAAGTTTATTGATTGGTGTAACCTTTCAGTTCCGATGGCTCTGTGATTTTGTTTCTTCACCTCCAGCACCTTAAAGGGAGAAACCACAGAGGCAGGCGAACAGTAAACAGCAAGTGGTGTCATTCCAACTCTCTTGTGGTGGCTGCCCAGAATTGGACAGCTGGGAACAGGGCAGCATGGTGGCTCAGCGGTTAGCACTGCTTCACAGCGCCAGGGACCTGGGTTCAATTCCAGCCTGTGGCGACTGTGTAGAGTTTGCACGTTCTCCCTGCGTCTGCATAGATTTCCTCTGACAGTTCAAAGATGTTCAGGTTAGATGGATTGGCATTGGCATTGCCAAATTGCCCATAGTATCCACGGATGTGCAAGCTCTGCAGGAATAGAATAGGGGGTGGGTCTGGATGGGATGCTCTTCACAGGATCGGTGTGCACTGGATGGGCCGAATGACCTGCTTCCAGCTTCCACATTTGCAAGGATTCTATTCTATGATTGTGTCACCATCTGTGGGTGGACATTGTTACTACAGCCCCTTCCAAAGTCTGTACAAATCCAGTATTTTGCTGAAGCCTATTTCAAGGGTATGTTCTTTTAGCTGCTCCAAGAGGCCAAATTGCAGCCCAAAGAGCTGATTCTCTCTTTCCCATATTGCGTTAGTCATCTTGGGGATGTGGCAGATATCTTTGTAAATAAACCTTAGCTGCACTTACATCTTGTACGTTTTAAATTATGTACTCCAACCTCACCCAGGACACCATGATCAACTGAACTACAGCTGGGGAAATGAAAGCTTTCCCGAGGTATGTAATAAGAAGGGTCCTCACATTGCCTTGTTACGTTTCACAAATGTAAAGCAAAGTAGAATTACAGCTTACACAACTCCCTTCTAAATATACATGGTCTCCTCAGTCAGCCCCACCCTTCATCTTCAGGAAGATATTCTGGCATTGGAGGTAGTCCAGTAAAGGTTCACCAGGTTGATCCTGTGTATGGAGAGACTGTCTTATGAGACATTGGCCCTGTACTCACTGGAGTTTAGACAAATGAGGGGTTACACTTGTTGAAACACAAGGTTCTGAGGGAGCTTGGTAGGGTTGATGCAGAAAGGCTCATTCCCTTAGTGAGGCAGTCCAGGACCAGAGGTTATCATCTCAGAGTAAGGAGTCTCCCTTTTAACTGAGATGAGGAATTTCTTCAGTGAACATGTGGAATTCTTTAATGCAGAGGGTTGTAAATTGTCAAGTATTTGAGACCGAAGCTAGTTTTTTAATCAGTAAGGGAATCCAGGATTGTAGACAAAAGGCAGAAAAGTGGAGTTCAGGATTATCCAATCAGCCATGATCTCAACAGATGGCAGAGTAGGCTGAATGGCCTACTTCTGCTCCTTCCCTTTATGTAAAAAATTATCCAATTCACATTAGTAACTTTCAACTGAATCTGCTTTTCCTTTAGGAGACATTTAGCAGATACATGAACAGACCAGCAATAGAGGGATACAGATCACGTGCAGGCAGATAGGATTAGTTTAGAATGGCATCATGGGTTGGCACAGACAAGGGCTGAAGGGCCAGTTCTTGTGCAGCACTGTTCTATACTGCTTTTTCAAGCTGCACATTCCAAATGAAAAGAATTTTTATTCTCTCTCATCTACTGCTCACATTGCACTGAAGGTCTCATCAGCTTCCTCCATATAAATGACGGTCTTTGCCATGCTAATGGAATGTCCAAAATATTTTAAAATGAATGAATTCCTTTTTATTTCCCTCTATCTGTGTTCCAGTTGGTGATATAGGAGTGATATTTTGAAAAGACTTGAGTCCTGCCCTGCACTGGTATTTATTGTGAATGTTAAGCTACATGCTCTCCATGGCTAAATCATGTGTGACCACAGGTTTCTATTTGGGTGTTTGAACCCCCTACTCATGACATTTCTGAGAAGTGATAATACTGCACAAGTCTCTGAAGCATACAAACTTTCTGACCTGATTACACTTGTACATCAGTTAAGAAATATGTAGGGCATGGTTTCTTGTGTACGGCAAGTTTACAGGAAACGTGCTGGATATAAGTTTGACAATGAGTGTTGGCAGGCTGACTTTTATCCACCGTAGCCTGAATGCTGATCCATGATTCTCAAACTGGGGTCTGCAAGGGCATTCTTTTGGGTAGGAGGATTGTGGAAATGGCCTACAATGCAGCGCTGACCTGACAGGGTAAAAGTAAGTGAATGTAAAAATGGCCTGTAGCATCATCCGTTCTCTCCACCATGCTCCTGTCTTCTTTCCCTGCTCCCCACGATTTCCTCTGTCTCTTATACTCCCTGTGCTCTTTACAGCGAGAAATAGATACACCAATCTCACTTTTAAAGCAACATACTGCAGATACTGGAGGTTGGAAATTATAACGAAAAGTGCTGAGAAACTCAGCAGATCTGGCAGCATTGTGGAGAGAAATAAAGAGTGAGTTAACTTTCAAATCTAGTATATTTTTTTGGAGCTGAAAGGAGCTAGAAAATTATGTTTATAGAGGGGGAGGAGCTGTAAGTGGAACAGATTGTGAGGGTGTCCAGAGCAAAGGGTGGCATGGTGGCTCATTTGGTTAACACTGCTGCCTCACAGCACTAAGGCCTGGGTCTGGGTGGGATGCTCTTTGGAGGGTCAGTGTGGACTCAATGGGCTGGATGGCCTGCTTCCACACAGTAAAGGATCCTAAAGGACAAAGGCGGTGGTAAAGGAGTGATGGAGATGTCAGATGTTACCTGTCTAAATGAGAAAATGGGTCTACTTTGCACAGTCCACACATGTGCAGGTTAAATGGATTGGCCATGGGAAATGTGGGCTTATGGGGATAGGGTGGGGTGCTCTTCAGAGGGTCGGTGCACACTCAATGAGGTGAATGGCCTCTTTTCCCCCCTGTAAAGTTTCAACGGTTCTAAAACCCTACCCCTCCAAGTCAGTGGAAACATCCTTCCTGCTTAATCCTGTAAGGATTGCATACGCTTCACTGAGATCATTTAGTCTTCTAAACACGACAGAATACAGGCCCAGTCTCCTCAATTCCCTTCTCACTGGACAGTCCTGCCATTCCTAGCAATCAGTGTGATGAACCTTTGTCCCTCAAGAGCAAGTCTATCTAACCTGAAGTAAGGAGACCAAAATGGCACACAGCATTCCAGGACAGCTTCAAAGTTCTGTACAATTCCAGGAAGACATCCATAGTCCTGTACTCAAATCCTCTCAGCAGAAGGCAACATAGCATTTGCTTTCCTAGTTGCTTGCTGTAGCTCCCTTTGGACTTCAGTACTTGAAAAGTATTCAGAGGTTCCTATTGCTGAAAAGGAATTTCAGCCTTTAGCTTGTAATTGGCTTGGGATAAAAATTAACCAGGTTGACTGCTCCTGTTTGCTTTCTGCTTACTTCTGGTAATGTGTATGCCTTGGAGGATAAACTGCAGTTGACTATGAAAGTAACAAGAGGAGTCTATATGACAGATAGTGGAATTTGAATTCAGTAAAAATCTGGAATTAAGAGTCTAATGATGACTATACATCCATTATCAATTGTCAGAAAGAAACCCAACTGGTTCACTAAATAAAAACCGAAAGAACTGCGGATGCTGTAAACCAGGAACAAAAACAGATATTGCTGGAAATACTCAGCAGGTCTGGGAGCATAGAACATAGAATCATAGAATCCCTACAGTGTGGGAAAAGGCCCTTTGGCCCAACAAGTCCACACTGACCCTCAGAGCACCCACCCAAACCCATCCCCCTATAACCCACCTAATCTACACATCCCTGAACACTACAGACAATTTAGCATAGCCAATCCACCTAGTCTGCACATCTTTGGACTGTGGGAGGAAACCGGAGAACCCAGAGGAAACCCATGTAGACACTAGGAGAATGTGCAAACTCCACAAAGACAGTCGCCCGAGGGTGGAATCGAACCCGGGGTCCCTGGCGCTGTGAGGCAGCAGTGCTAACCACTGAGCCACCGTGCTGTCCTAAAGCATCTGTGAAGAAAAAAATCAGTGTTAACATTTCAGATCTCGTGACGCTTAAAAAAAAAATCACTCATGGCAAAAGAAGCTCATTTATAAACTTTATTTAGAATATTGTGGGTCACAAGTCTACACATTTGAAAAAGCCACAGTTGACACCAATAACCGTTGTGGCTATATATTAATTTAGGTCCTTCATTATTTACATGGCTATACTTTAAAATCTCTAGTAGTCTATTACTGTGTGGACACTCCTCTGGCACGCTCACTTAAACATTGACTATACATTATAATATATAAAACTATATCCACCTTTCTATACATGATACTGCATCTGTCACCTGACATGTACAAAGTAAATATGAACAGATTTCAATCTATTTGGTTTGACAATCACACACCCGCTAATGTTCACAATTATTTGATGAATACAAGTCTTTCTCTAATTATAGAATATGCAGGTGGGTTTGGAAAAGACTCATTTCATTGCACCACCAAATGGCCAAAGGCTTGAAAATACACGTAACCGGCAGCTGTTTACAGAGTTTCCAGTTTAAATGTCTCCATTAAACTGCTAATGTTAAGTGTAACCAGAAGTTTGTAACAGCAAAATAGCCACAAAGTGTTGCTTAAATGCAAAAACTGGAGACCAGGAAATGTTCCCAGGGTTTGTTGTGTGAACCAGCTGCTCCAAATTGTTTAAAAACAAATCTAAACTTATCTAAAAATTGATCATTTCACTCTATAGAAAGGTACTAGCACATCTCAAGCATAGAAACAGAAAACACTAGAAATACACAGCAGTGTCTCCCAGCTACAGCTCACATACTATAGAAAAATAAAAAGACCTCGAGGGTCATTGCATCCAAGGGTGGTGGGAACAACAAAATTGAATGGGTACGAGAAAAGTAGACTTGCAGGGCTACAGGAGAATGGGGCTGACTGGGTGCTTGCATAGCTCCTGCACAGACTGCGTCGGCCAAATGGCCTCCTGTGTACTGTCAAGACTCAGTTACACAGCTATTCAGAAATCCCTTCTGGAGAAGGGATTCGGTGAGGACAGAAAGGGGCCTGATGTGTTGCCTCTTGTGGTCAATCAGCTCGAGGCTGAGTCATGAGTAACAACCACTGGAGTGAGCTGCCTCCAGCAAAAAGTTGATGCCCTCGAGGGAGGTGAAGACAAGATTGGAAGGGTGCAAAATGTACAGAGAGTCACAGAGTCCGCACTGAGGTTTCCCCAACAACTGGGTACATTGGGTCATAGTCAGGGATTGTCGGCCTAACTCTTTGCATCGTTACCTTCCAAATCTGCAAATTCCACCATCTACAAGGAGCAGAGCAGCATGCAGAGTGCAATACCACCATCTGCAAGCTCCCCTGCAAGCCGCACACCATCCTGACTTGGAACTGTGACACCATTCACTCATTGTCGCTGGGTCAAAATCCCAGAACTCCCTCTGTAACAGTGCAGTGGCTGTCTGTACTCCCACATGGATGGCAATGATTGAAGAAGGCAACTCACCATCACCTTCTCCAGGGTGATTGGGGACGGACATTAAATCCTGGCCCAGCCAGCTACGCCCATGTCCTGTAAACAGACGTTTAAAAACTCAACAAGGTAGAGCAGGAAATCTGCTAGAGTTGGGTTGGGGAGGGAAGGATATGAACTGGTAGAAGAGGAATAAACAGTAAAGTCAATATAGTGCCACCCTCTGATTAAGGAGCAATGACTGGTGGGGGTTTAACCTGAGGGTCACCAAGCCTTAGGTGAGGGAAGAGGTTGAGAAGGAGAGTCCTTCATGGTAACCCCAGCCGGTGCAAAAATTGAATCCACACTGTTAGTATCACAAATCTGGCAAACTGACCTAACCAAGCCCTGTAAAGAACAAAATACTCTCCCAAAATAAGCGATAATAATGAACCAAGTCTGGATCAGGCCTTTAATGACTGGGAAATTTATATTAAATTCAGCACTGAATTCTCCATTTGCCTCAGAGTGATGTCAGACCACAAACACAACCACCCCAAGTTGGTCATTTACCCAACAGAGACCACAGGATGGCTGCTGTGGGAAAATGGAAAAATATAACACTGCTGTGGTAGAAACCGTAAGGGTTTGAGAAACATGTTAAGCTAGAGAACGAGGAAGTTTTGCACTGGGTTAGAAATGCTAAAAGCTACATTCCTCATTGTGTCACCAACAACACTCACCTGGACAGATCACTAAGAAAATAATTAGATATTTCAAGGTCGGGAGGGGGTTAGTTACTGCAATAATTGAACATCTTAAAATGAATTATTCACGTAGCAAGATGAGCGGAGTTTAAAATAGACTACCAAAGCATCATTTCACAAGTAGTTTTCACAGAAACTGGCCAATAAGTGAGGGAACACAAGCAGGTGAAGGCCACAGGGATGATAATCAAATGTCAATTTATTTCATAAAGCTGTGGATGTTCCCACCCAACTATGTCACACAGATTTTAAAACTGAAACAGCTTGCTGTGCACCTCCAACCACCTTCAGGGATTACTGTTTCTCTCGACCTGTTCCAAGGGATGTGAAGCTGGACTGACATTGCTGGCCGGCCTCTGATACTCTCAAGCTTTCTCCAGGTAGGTGCTTGGGACTAGGCCACACCTTCCGTTGCGACTCGCTGTCCACCACCCGTCCTCGTTCTCAGCCGTGATTTGGATGATGTCATTGGCAGTTATATCTAGCTCGTCGCAGTTCTGATGGGGCAGAAAAAAAAGTGACATTAGCTTCCCACCCATCTAACCGAGGCTCCTCCAGTGAAACGAGTTGTGCATTTTCAGTCCTGTTGCCACCAAGCACCAAGCTGCCCATTAATGTTCCACCCAGTGGTAGTCTCACTCAAGAACTACTAGGGATTATCAGCGAAGGGGTAAATGGAAATGGAACTCTCTTACAGAGGATGAAGTTGAGGACCACTGTTGGGCAGGGAGAGGCTTCACTCTTTTTTTAACTTTTTATTCACTCAAAGGATCTGGGCATCACTGGGAGGGCCAGCATTTTATTGCCTATCCCTAGTTGCCCTTGAGAAGGTCATGATGAGCCTCCTTCTCAAACCACTTGCAGTCCATGTGCTGTGGGCAGATCCATTCATTCACAGGAAGTGGGCATCATTGAGAAGGTCAGGATTTATTACCCATCCCAACTGCCCTCAAGAAGGTGAACATGCTGTGGATGTGCCAGTGTTGGACTGGGGTGGACACGGTCAGAAGTCACACGACACTAGTTTATAGGCCAACAGGTTTATTTGAAATCACAAGCTTTCAGAGCGCTGCCTGACTTGGCTGCAAAAGCTTGGGTTTCAAATAAACCTGGTGGACTATAACCCGGTGTCGTGTGACCTCAAGAAGGTGAAGGCAAGCTGTCTCCTTAAATACAACTGAGTCACATGCCCGGTCTTTTAAGCAGTTAAGATAACCACATTGCTGTGAGTCTGGAGTCACGTAAAGGATAGACTGGGTAAGGACAGTCAATCATCTTGCATGGCATTATTAAACAAGATGAGTTTTTACCACAATTCTACTGACACTATTACTGATACCTGCTTCTCAAACCCAGATTTATTGTATTTAAATTTACCCTGGTGAGGTGAGATTTGACCTCGTGTCTCTCAAGCTCAAGCATTAAGCCAGGCCTCTGGGTTACTAGACCAGAAATGTTGACACTCTGTTACCATGCCCACTAAGTGACCATGTTATACATTTACTCAGGGTGCTTGATGCTTACACTGGGGACTTGAAATAGGACAAATGTTTTATACCCCAGTACTGATTCCAATTAGCTTTTTAACAAGAATTATTATTAAAAAGTATTTTATTTGTTCCAGTTTGTAGTTCAGTAGCCAGTCCATAGCAGAGAGGGCTCAGATTTAATTGCAAAGAATATCCTTTACTATCATGGTTACTCCAGTACAGGAGTACAGTAAAAAGTTTTTACAATGGCTGCCTTTAACGGTGCCATCTTAGGTACAAGTACCTAGGTACAAATCTTACAGAGAAAAAAAAAGTGTTGTTACAGGGTAAAAAAGAATATAAATCAGCATGAAACAATGAAAAAGTCCAGAATGATAATAAGTGACCAATAAGTTCCAATCTGTGTCTGCAGGCCCCTGGACAAGAGGCTACGCTGTCTCCATGTTATGCCATTTCTCAATTGTTGTAAGTGATAATGGCAAGTGCTACATCTACCTCTTCGTTGCAAAGGATGTTGTTAACTGTCAAAAGCCTGTGAAATCCAGGCAGGAGGAGAGCAGAGGGTCCCACTCCTATGATGGCCTGTAGCAGGATTTGGAAACACTTCCTACACACACACCCCACAACAAGACCACCAGGTAAACCTCCTGGGATTCAGCAAACCAGAATAAGCAGCGCTCGCCCCGCACAATTGCCAATAACACCTTTTCAGGGCAGTGAAGATAGGCAATTAATGCAGTCTCACCAATCTTGTCCACACTCATAGAACAAATAAGAACTGAAAAAAAAATACAGACCACTGCTCCAGGATGTAGGGAGGTGATGGCATAGTCGTAATCCAGAGGTCTAGGACAATGCTCTGGAGACTGGGTTCAAATCCCACACAGATATTGGTGTTTAAATTCAATCAATAAAATCTGTAACTAAAGGCTAGCCTTAGTAATGTGACGAACAATTATCATGGAATGCTATGAAAAACCAGAGACTAAACACAGCCTCAGGGACCAGTTTGCAGAGCATTTGTGCCAACCAACTTGACCTTCTAGTTGCCATCCACTTTAACTCTCCCTCCCACTCCCCTGGTGACATGTCCATCCTTGGCCTCCTCCACTATCAGAGTGAGGCCAAACGTAAACTGGAGGAACAACACCTCATATTTCGCCCTGGGAGCTTACAGCCCAATGGCTTGAATATTGACTTCACCAGCTTTAAAATCTCTCCTAACCAGTCCATTTACCAACTCACCTATCCACTAACCAACCACAATAACACCCATACATGCATCACCAGCTTCAAAATCTCTCCAACCTCAACCTGTCCATCTTCCTACTCACCTAACCGCTCCACCCTTCCCACTGATCAACCAGAACAACCTGCATCCTCCTATCTCAATCTCACCTACCCTCCCCCCAGCTCCACTCCCCCTCTTTATTTATTTCTGGGCTCCCCAACCCCTCCCCAGTCCTGACGAAGGGTTTCAGCCTGAAAAGCTAACTTCCATTCTCCTTGGATGCTGTCTGACCTGCTGTGCTTTTCTAGCTCCACACCTATTGACTCTGGTTTCCGACGTCTGCAGTCCTTACTGTCACCTGTCTCCTTTAAGGAAGGAAATCTGCCGTCCTTAGTTGGCCTGATCTACATGTGACTCCAGACCCACAGCAATGGGGTTGACTCTGAAATAGCTCAGCAAGACACTGAGTTTAAAGGCAATTTGGGACGGGCAATAAATGTTGGCAATGCCAGCAACACAAACATCCCATGAATGAATAACAAAGAAAAACAGCATTTCTGCATCCTTACCTGAGCAGTGTAGTCGTAGAGTACTCTGTAGTTGTTTAGATTTTCCTGTTGCAGAACAGCAACACTGGCGTACAAATCCTCTGCTAATGAACACAGAATATCAATTGAATAAAACTGCAGTGACTGTAAGTTTTAATTCTCACATCTACTGTGTTAGGAGTGTTGTTGACAACCATAAATTAGAGATATCCCTCTGTTTGTTTTGAAGGTTTATATCAGGGGAGTTCTTGTGGTGGACTGGAGGATTATCTCTAAATCACTTCTCAGAACTGGCTTCTAGGAGACCTGATGTCGATGGGAGAGACTGGAGGCAGCCAGATTTTAATTCCTCTTCTCTCAACACAGAGCAACACTGCCATCTAATGGTACAACTAGTAACTGGCAAACCCTGTAGGAAAGCAGCAGTCAACATTTCGGGTATTACCCTTCTTTAGGACTGGATGTGGAGGTGGAGGCGGAATGGATGTCCGCTTATTTCAAACAACGCTCTTTCCTCCAACGTGCTTCCTCCATTCCCCGTTCCATACTCTTAACCACCACCCCCACCAAACATAATAAAAATAGGGTCCCCCTTGTCCTCACCACTGCAGCCTCCACATCCAATGTATCATCATTAAACACTTCCACCAACTCCAATTAGACCCCACCACCCGGTATATCTTTCACTCCCCACCCCTCTCTGCCTTCCGCAAGGACCATTCCTTTCGCCACTCCTTAATTCGTGCTACACTCCCCAACAATTACTCCAACCCACCCGGTACCTTCCCCTGTAACCGTAAAAGGTACAACACCTGCCCACACACCACCTCCCACCAGGGCCCTAAACAGTCCTTCCAGGTGAGACAGAGTTTCACCTGAATCTCCTCCAACTTAGTTTACTGCATCTGATGCTCCCAATGTAGTCTCTATACTAGTGAGACCAAACGTAGACTAGGTAACCGTTTCACTGAGCATCTACGCCTGGCCTGAAACGGCCAGCCTAACCTCCCCGTCAACGCCCATTTCAACTCCTGCCCCACTCCCCGTCCAACATGTCCTCCTCGGCCTCCTCTAGTGTTGCAGCGACTTGGAACGCAAATTTGAAGAACAACACCTTATCTTCCACCTGGGCATCCTACAGCCTGGAGGACTCAACATTGAGTTCTTCAATTTCAAATAACCTTCCCACCCATCCCCTGGCTCCCCTTCCAGCCCCACCTCCTCCCTTCCATTCCACCTTCTGACCCTTCCTTCCAGCCACCAATTGGATTCATCCCGCCCATCGACCAACCAGGTCGTACCTACCACCAGTGTCCACCTATCCCCACCATTCCGCCTTCCCCGCCTTTATCTGCAGCTCCCCCTACTCCCATATCCAGTCCTGAAGAAGGGTAACATCTGAAACAGTGACTGCTCCTTTCCTCCAGATGCTGCCTCGTTTGCTGTGTTCTTCCAGCTTCCTGTTTGTCTACCTTGGATTCCAGCATCTGCAGTTCTTTTAGTCTCTAAGTGGCAAACCCTACCCAGGAAATCACAAGAGGCAGTCTGGCCTGTATCTTCAAAATATTAACCTTTCTTTTCTCTTTATAGAGGCAAATGGACAAATTCAGTGAGACCAACAGGGCTGCCATTCCTGCTCTGTCCTTTCCACCTCAATAGCAACACCTGACTGTGCCCTATCTCAATTGATCTGCTGCTATAGCCCTCGGTCATACCTATGTTACCTCTGGCCCCTGACTATTCCAATGTACTCCTGGCTGCTCTCCCATATTGCCACCCATTGGCAGCAAATCCTTCTCAGTAATCTCCTCCAGCCTCACAACCTCCTTGGTGCAGGACTGGGGAGGAGGAGGGGAGCCTGGAAATAAATCTTTGTGTTTCCCTGATTTTAATCACTTGCAGTTGCCAGGACCTGAAGATGTGGGATTCCTTCCCTACACCTTCCCCCTCACTTACTCCTTCAAGATACTGCTTTAAATCCAGCCCTTTGACTGAACTTTTGGTTTTCTGTCCTAATGTCACCTTTTGTGGCTGAGAATCATACTTTGCTTTATAATGTTCCCATGAGGTACCTAGGGACACTTCACCACTGTAGGTATGCTATATAATTGTAACTTTCAATCCTTTCTTCCCAACACTCTACCCCCTGTCCTTTTCCCTGGCTCCAAAGTATTAACTCTGAGTCTGCCTCCCCAGAGAAGCAGCCTATCAAGTTCCAGCTAACTAATTTATTTACAGTGTTGATTTTTTTCAGAATCCCTAGAGTGTGGAAGCAGGCCATTTGGCCTATTGAGCTCACACTGACCCTCAGAAGAGCATTCATCCAGACCTATCCCCCTACCCAGTCCTGTAAGCCTGTACTTCCCATGGACTAATCCACCCTAGCCTGCACGTCTTTGGACTGTGCAAGGAAGCTGGAGCACCCGGAGGAAAGCCATACTGACACAGGGAGAACATGCAAACTCCAAACAGACAGTGACCTAAGGGTGGAATCGAACCCACGTCTCTGTGAGGCAGTAGTGCTAACCACTGAGTCACTGTGCCATCCTAAGTGACATTATGAAATGATACCGATGCAGTGGATTAGCACTAGGAGTTGGAAGAATAGGATGGAAACAACAGTGATCAAATCGAAAACAGAAACTGTTGGAGAAAATCAGCAGGTCAGGCAGCATCTGTGGGGAGAAAGCAGAGTTAACGTTTCGAGTCCAGTGACTCTTCATCAGGGCAAGTGATGAATCAAGTCGCTGACCTGAAACCTTTTAAATCTTTGTACGGACTTGCTGAGCTTAAGAACTAATGGCATAATTTCGGAAGCAGGAGAGTTCTACCCAGTGTCCAGGCCAAAATCTTTCCTTCAATCAATCTCACGAGTATCAGATTATTATCTATTATCACTTTTTATTGCTGTTTGTGGGACCTTGCTGTGTTGAAAAGGAACACTGTGTTTACCACCTGCCCGATGATCACAAATGGCACTTTATAAATGCACATCTTCTGGTTTCTTACCTGGAGGTGGCGCTGTCACATTGATTGAATTGCTGCTACTGGACTTTGACGTAAGACCTGGTAACAGATGGGTAATCCTAAACAGCAAGAAACAGAGGTCACTGGCTTTAATAAAATCAACAGCAACTCAGAAAGAACAATAATTCCACGACCGTTTAGTTAAATGTGAGGATATTCATTATTTTTTAATTCATTCATGGGACGTGGGTGCAGCTAGCTTGATCAGCATTTGTTGCCCATCCCTAGTTGTCCTTGAGTTGATGGTGCTGCACTGTTGCAGTCCATGTGCTGTGTGTCGTTAGGGAGGGAGTTTCAGGATTTTGATCCAGCGACACTAATACAATCGGTTCTGCTATAATGCGATAGTTGCGTTCCTGTGCAACATCATGTTGTAGAAAATCACACCGTAGAAACAACAGGGCCTATGGGAAAAGTGGGATGAGGGACAGACCACCAAAAAAAGTCACTCAGAAGCCTAACACAAAGGATAGCACAATTTGAATAAATGTTTAATTCATATATAATGATGAAATAATAGTAAATTTAGCACTTTATCCTGAAAAAATATCAAGATGACTCGATGGGGGAGGAGGTTGTTCTGTACCTCTCACAGAAGGCAGTTTTTGACAAAGCTTGCAAAATGATCTCATGACGCCAGTGCAGAGACTCTTTCAGCACTAACATTGTACATATTCACGACAAAGCCTGTGAAACGATCGTGTGACGTTGACGTGTACTCCTCCACACACTAATGGAATCACGTTATAGCCAATACAAGTTTGTGTTTTAGAAATAGCGTTCCACTATCCAGCAATCACGTTACAGCCAATTTGCATTGACGTAACACGTGTTATAGCAGAACCGACTGTATATTTTCAAGTCAGGATAGCGAATGGTTCAGCGAGGAACTTGCAGGGGGTGGTGCAGCCTCTGCTTTTCTTGTTCATTGTTCTGTCACTTTGGATGAGCACTCAGTCCCCATATTTTATTTTAAAAGGCATTTGAAATTTTCCTGTGCTCCCCCAAAGGCACTGACTGGTATGGGGTGTGGATTGTTATAAATATCCCACCCACCGGGTCAGTCTGACCATTGCACAGTCAACAATGGATCTGTTTGGGCCACCAAAGCTTTCAGATTGGATGCAAATCTGTCTCACTCAGTCTAGACACTAGCACGTTCCTATAAGAGGGGAGTGAGCAGCAAGAGATTGGTGGAGTGGGGGTGGATCCAAGGCCAGAATTTACTGTCCCTATGGGAATAAATCTGACTGGTTTCACAGAGGGAGTCAGTGGGTTAGTAATTCAGTGGGCTAATGCTTTGGTTATTTAAATTCAATGAATAAATTTTGAATGTAAAGTTAGTCTCAGCAATGTGAACCATGAAACTATTATCCATTGTTTTAAGAACCCATCTGGTTCACTAATGTCCTTTACAGAAGGAAATCTGCCATCCTTATCCAGCCTGGGCTACTTGTGACTCCAAAACCTCGCAACCACTCAGTTCAAGGGTGTTAAAAAAAATAGGCACTGATTGCTGTTGATGCCCACATCCCCTGAAAGAATAAGAGACAGAGGACAGACCAGGGGTGAGATGTGGGACCTTCAGCTCAGTCTCTTATTGAATAGAGAGCAGTCACTTATGTATTAAAACACACTGGTACTTGGTAAGGAGTTAGTCATCATAGTCTCTTTAGAGAGAGACAACTGGTGGTGGTTTAACCTGAGGGTCGCTAAGTCTCAGATAAGGGGCAAGGTTGAGAAGGTGGGACCTTCATGGTAACTTCAGCTGCTACAGGAACTAAACCTGTACTGTTGGTGTCAACTAACCAATCTCAACTTGGTAATGTACAGTAAAAGTCATAGGACGTGTTTCTTAATGTCTGTATAAAATTTCACCTCCCAAACAATTCATTAGGAACAAAAAAGGACATCTTTTGATTTTTGTCCATGTTCATTACTGGCTCAGAATCATGAATGTAGAATCAGTTTAGGATTGCTTGTGTTGAATCTGGGTAAGTTAAATTTCCAAGTCCTCCAGTTTAGTGCTGTGACTAATTAGAATTTAAATGTTAGTAAATTACCAGTTTCATCTTTGATCCAATGACAGCATTAACAGAGATTTTTTAACATGCTTTGTTTGCTAAGCAGCTAATTTCTTTTTAAATTGGCTGAAATTTATGCTGAAGGAATTAGCAGAAGTACGGTAGAAGCGGAAGTACTGGAATGAAATTTGTCAAATTTTTTTTATGAATGTAGCTTTATATATTGTGGGAATGAACTGCTGCATACATTTTTCAGAATAAAACATGGAACATCTCAATCAGTGTCACAACAAGGTGTAGAGGTGGATGAACGCAGCAGGCCAAGCAGCATCAGAGGAGCAGGAAGGCTGACGTTTCGGGCCTAGACCCTCCTGTCAGTTCTGTTCTGTCCCAATAACCACACGTCTGATTAGTCACAAGGACAAATTGGATATAGCTTTAAACGAGAAATCTGAAGATCCGTGAAGGCTATTTTAGGGTTGCCTGCTCCCAGGTGGTCAGTGGGGTAGAGATAAGGGTTTCCCCAGCCACTCTGCTCAGCCAGAATAAAAGTAAATACTGCAGATTCTGGAGATCTGAAATAAAACAGAGAGTACTGGAAAAACTCTTGCAGCATCTGTGGAGAGAGAAACCGAGTTAATATTTCGACTCCGACATAACTCGTCTTCAGAATTTCTCCAGCATTCTTTGTTTTTGTTTTACAATAATCTGTTAGTTTCACGGCACCATTACCAAGACGATAGCTTTCAATTCCAGATTTTATTAACTGCATTTGTGGTCCCCAGCTGTTGTCGTGGGATTTTGTTTTCAATGCATTCACGGGATGAGGGCGTCGCTGGCCAGGCCAGCATTTATTGCCCGTCCCTAGTTGCCCAGAAAGCAGTTAAGAGTCGACCACATTTGAATCCATATTAGCCTGGGTCCTGTAGTTTACCAGTCCTGTGACATGACCACTATACCAGCACTACTGCATAAGGCTGGTGTATGTTGGACTGTGGGCTGTTAGCACAGCTGTAAAACAATATAAAAGCAGGAGAGCAGGGAGAAACCTGACTTGTCCCTCCTTGTAGGGAGCACATAATGTTTCAAATCAATGACCACTGATCAAAAGTGGTAAGCTCACTATCCTCTCCACATCTACTGTCTCTGGTTTTATTTTCAGATCTCCAGCGTCCGCACAAATTCTTTATTATTCATTTACAGGATGGTATCATCATTGGAAGGATCAATTGCCCAACCCTAGTTATCCTTCAGGGGAGAGATTTGATTGGCTCGCTCAACCATTTCAGAGTCAGCCCCATCACTGTGGGTCTGGAGTCACATGTAGGCCAGACAGTGGTCAATTTCATGAATTCATTGAATGGCACGGACATAAGTGAACCAGGTAGGATTTTACAGCAATCTAGTCATTCCAACTGATACCATTATTGCTTCGTAATCCCAGAGTTATTAACAGATTTAACTTAACTTCCCTGGCTGCTGTGATAAGATTCAAATTAACGTTGCTGTGCCATTAGTCCCAGCCTCTGAATTGCTCGGTCTGTTGACGTCATGACTATGTTACAGTTTCTGGCTCTGAACCCCATCTACCTGATGTTCACAGCACACCCCTCCCAGGTAGGGGCATGGGCAGGCACCAGAGGCAGGAGGCTTTGGGTGCTCACTATTGTACCTTCCATCTGACAGACGGCTTCCAGCTTATCTTATAAACTGGTTAGGTATTCCCCCTGGACTCCCCTGGATGTTCCCAATGACATCGCATTCTAAGGATACGGGGTAGACCATTTAGGACTGAGATGAGGAGAAATTTCTTCGCCCAGAGAGTGAAGAATTCACTGCCACAGAAAGCAGTTGAGGCCTAAACATTGAATGCTTTCAAAAAGAGGTTAGATATAATTCTTAAGGCTAAAGGGGTCAAAGGGTACGGGGAGAAAGCAGAAACAGGGGACTGAGTTGGATGATCAGCCATGATCACACGGAGTGGTGAAGCAGACTCAAAAGGCCAAATGGCCTACTCCTGGTCGTATTTTCTATGTTTCCGTAAGCCTTGGGTCAATCAACAGCTCACAGTTACCAGTTTGTGCCATTTTTAACAACTAGCTGCCTTTCAGGGTTTATTCCAGTGTCTCTGCAGGGAAATGGACATTCTAACTCCAATGAGGTCCAGTAATTGTAGCAAGTTCATCTGCAGTAGTTAATAGGCCTAGGGGACCTCAGTTTCCATAATCAGTGGTGAAAATCCAACTGAACACAAGACTAAATGATCTGCATTGTGAAATGTCTTGTGATTGCAAGGATGATGGGTTTAGTGTTAGTGTGTTAATCAGCTATTGCAAAGCAGAGGTGTTAATTGCTGGTGAATGACTGTTTAAAGGCCCACAGTCTGTACACAATGATTAACGTGTAACTAGACACACAACGCATCAGCAAACAGTTAATTTGTAGGTATACCTGTTAGGTAAATGTAAAAAATTAGGAAAATATCTGAAACACAAAAATATTGAAACATGGAGGTTAATGACAAGCACAACCAGAAAGACAGGACAGGTTCACGAATGACAACATTAAGAAATCCTGCTTTTGTTATTTCAATGATGTTGCCTTTTCATGTGGAGATGGTGAACATTTTATTAAAGGTTTGATGGGAACATTTATCCGAGGCGCAGCCACTCAGCGACCTACAGAGTTAAAGTGAACTTGTTAAAATGGAAATGTCTAGTGTTTTTTCCACAACCGCAGCGTCACACACTTCTCATTGCCTGCCACAGCATTCATATAGCACCTTGTGCAAGGAATAGAAATGGTCCGAGACGCCCACTTGCTGGCACTGTCGCATGCTGGAGTTTTAAAGCATCTGGTTATTCTACTTAGATTGCCTGATTCTTTATTCTATGAGGAATCGTTTCTTTTTCATCCAAAAATTGTAATAGTCAAACGATTATTGGCAATTCAATTTCCCACAGTCCTTCCATATATCCCTCATCTCCCAGTCCCAAAGTCCTGATTCTGCCATATCTCTCTGACCTCAATCCCAAACTCTTGCTGGTGATTGAGACTTGTCTGCTTTCTTGATCAATTCTCATCTGATATTTGGAGCAATCAAAGCAACTCATAGAGGCGGGTGGGGAATGACAGTGTCACTGGATTAATAACCCAGACACACAGACTAATCCTCTTGGGGCATGGGTTCAAATCTGTTTGAATTTAAATTTCACGAAAAACTTGGGAATTGAAATAATGTCTCAATAATAGTGACCATGAAATGATCATCAATTGGCATAAAAACCCATCTTGTTTACTAATGCCCTTTAGGGAGTGAAATCTGCCATCCTTACCTTGTCTGGTCTACGTGACTCCAGACCCACAGCAATAGGGTTGATTCTAAACTGTCCTCTGAAATGGCCAAGTAAGCCATTCAGTTCGAGGTCAATTAGGAAATGCAACAAATGCCCATACCCCACGAAAAAATAAAACAAACGTTCGTAACTAATTAGGAACAGCCTTCTCCTGTCTGCTCTGCCACTTAATAAGGTCATAGCTGATCTGATTACTCCATTTCACCCCTAATAACCTTTTATCCCCTTGCTTATTAAGAATCTCTGACTTTAAAAATATTCGCTAACTTCCAACTTCCACTAACTTTTAAGGGAGAAGTTTCCAAAGGGTCTCAACCTCCTGTAAGAAGAAAAATTCACTTCAATCTCTGTCATAAATGAGCAATCTCATTTTTAAACCTATTCTCAATTCTGTTATAATAGGAAACATTTTTTGCACATGCTCCCCATCAAGGCCCCACAGGATCTTGCATGTTTCAATCAAGTCACCTCTTAGTCTTATAACCTCCAGTGGATACAAGCCTAGCATGTCTCATTTTCCTCATAAGACAACCAGCCCATTCTAGGTATTAGTCTGGTAACGTTTCTCTGCTTCCAATGCATTTGTATCCTTCCTTAAATAAGGAGACCAATACTGTATTCAGTACTCCAGCTGTGGTCTCACCAAACACCAGTATATCTAAAGCATAATCTCCCATGATAACTTTCTATTAATTTTCCCAATTACTTGCTATACCTGCATCCTGACCTTTTGCAATTCATACACTACAACACCCAGATCCCTCTGCATCTCAGAGCTCTGCAACATCTCACTGTTTAGATAGTATTCTTCCTTTAAATACTCCTGACAAAATGGGCAACATCATATTTTCCCACATAATACTCCATTTCCCATGTCTTTGCCCACTTATCTATCTGTCTATTTCCCTTTGTAGCTCCTTACATCCTCTTCACAACTTACTTTCCTACTTTGTATCATCAGCAAATTTGGCAACCATACCTTTGGTCCCATCATCAAATTCATTTATATAAATTGTAAAAAGTTGAGACTGCAACCCTCATCCCTATGGCACCCCACTCATTACTAACTGCCAGTTGAAAAAAGACCCATTTATACCTGCTTCCTGCTTCCCATTTGTTATAAAGATGCTTTATTATTCATTTTAGAGTTAGAGTCATACAGCTCAGAAACAGACCCTTCTCTCTAACTTGTCCAAGTTTCCCAAACCAAACTAGTCCCACTTGCCGGTGTTTGGCCCATATCCCTCCAAACCATTCCTATTCATGTACCTGTCCAAATGGCTTTTATATGTTGTAACTGTACCTGCATCTACCACTTCCTCTGGCAGTTCATTTCACTTACAATCCACTCTCTTTGTGAAAATGTTGCCCCTCAGATCCCTTTAAAATTTTTCTCCTTACACCTTAAAAATATGCCTCCTAGTTTCAAACTCCCCCACCCTTGGGAAAAGATCCTTACTATCCATTTTATCTATACTCCTCATGATATTATAAACCTCTATAAGGTCACCCCTTAACCTCCTGCACTCCAGTGAAAAAAGTTCCAGTCTATTTTTATAACTCAAACCCTCCATTCCTGGCAACATCCTGGTAAATCTTTTCTGAACCCTCTCCAATTTAGTAATATTCTTCCTATAACAGGGCGACCAGAATTACACACAGTTCTCTAGAAGAGGCCTCACAATGTCCTATACAACCTCATCATGACATCCTAAACTCAAAGGTATGAACAATGAAGGCAAGATTTCTTTTTTATATACCTAATATATGACTCCTCCTCATTCTTGACCAGAGCGTCAATATCTTTATTCATCCATTGTTCCCTACTCTTACCAGCCTTACCCTTCACTCTAACAGGAATATAATGCCTCTGGACTCTTATTATCTCACTTTTAAAATCCTCCCACTTGCCAATTGTCCCTTTACCTGTGAACAGTCTACTCCAATCAAGTCTTGAAAGTTCCTATCTCATACCATCAACATTTGCCTTACTCCAATTAAGAACTTTAACTTTTATACACGGTCTATCTTTTTCCATAACTATTTTAAAACTAATGCAATTATGATCACTGGTCCCGAACTGCTCTCCCACTAATACTTCAGTCACTTTCCCTGCCTTATTGCCCAAGAGTAGGTCAAGTTTTGCTCCTTCTCTAGTAGGTACATCTACATATTGATAAAGAATGTTTTCTTGAACACATTTAGCAAATTCCTCACCATCCAAGCCCTTAGCACTATGGCAGGCTCAGTCTATGTTTGGAAAGTTAAAATCCCCTACTATTACAACTCTATTATTCTTACATATATCTGAGATCTCCCTTAATTTCTTAATTTCCCTCTGACTATAGGGGGAGGCTATAGTACAATTCCATGAAAGTGATCATCCCTTCTTATTTCATATAGCTTCACTGGATGATCCCTCAGAAATATCTTTTCTGAGTACAGCAGTAATGTTTTCCTTAATCAAAAATACCACTTCCCTTCCTCCTTGCCTCCCTTCCTATAGCATCTAAACCCCGGAACATTGAGCTGCCAGTCCAGTCCCTCCCTCAGCCATATTTCTGTAATAGCTATGATATCCCTGTCCCATGTTCCCATACACTCCCTGAGTTCATCTGCCTTACCTGTAAGATCCCTTCTATTGAAATAAATGAAGTTTAATTCTTCAGAGTTATTTCCATCATACATGGTAAAGCAATGTGGACAGTGGTTCATTTCGGCACCTGAACTTGTATTTCTTGTGAAGATACCACTAAAAGGGCAATTGGATACTTTTTTATTGAAGGTCACATGGCTTCAGCTAGTTGCTGGAAATCACATGCCCAAATTTACGACTTTGCTTTGGATGCTGTTTTGAATTCAGGTGGGCTACAGAGATGAGACAGAAAAGCTAGCAATCATGTTTAATTTCCCAGATCTGTACTCTCTCTCTTGTCTAGCCTCCACATTTTAAATTATCATGCCTTCCTAAATATATTTTCAAACGTCTCTGCTTCAATAGCATTCCTATTGAATGCTGAAGGTTCCATTTCCACTAATCAGATTTTCTGGCTGCACTATTAAGTTATGCAAATCCAGATTAGTAGTTAGAACTGAAACAACTTCTTGGATTCCTTTGGGTTCCCGAGCTTCCTGTACAGATTCTGATTTGGGTCCAGAGTGATCTGGAGCACAAAACCTAAGAAATTTGAAACCACATTTGTGCCATTTACCTTTTCAGCATCCCTCCATTCCTAGAAGAGGCGGCTGTGCGATTTTCTATAGTAGATAACTTGTCATAATAATTCTCGTATTCTATGGGAGCTGTGAAGGAGAAATGCAGGTCCAAGAGTAAACTCAGAATGGAAAACTCCTTTGTTAAACTTTTATAACATCAATCGCATTGTGTAACATAAGACAACACAGACGATCCGCCAAAGGCTAGACATAGTCACATCCCACGAAAGAATAAAAGCAGCGCACACATTTGTGCAATTTCACCAGATACGTGCTGTCAATATTATACCCCATTTTGCAGGTTTTGACAAGGCACTTCTCGACAATATTGGCACAGGAAAGGAGTGTCGATTTTCTGATCATCAAATTTATAAACTGCAAATACTGGTGGGCACATCATCTTTTGAAGCCTCAAATTAAATCCCTCCAAAAAAAAAAGAGGGGCCAACTTGTATAAAGTAAAAGTCACCATAGTCTTACCACACTACAGGGCTGCTCTCTCATTACAGGTGGGGAAAGAGAGAGAGAGGGAGGTGACTGGTGGTGGGTTTAACCTGAGGGTCACCACGCCTCAGGCAAGGGACAAAGATTGAGAAGGAGTGTCCTTCATGCCAGTGCAGGTGTTGAACCCATGCTGCTGGCATCACTCTGCACTGCAAACTGCCCACCCAACCAACTGACCTAATCAATATACCAACCAGCGTGCTTAAAACTGAACTGCCAGCTTTGTCATCATCTGTCCTCACCTCCCGCACATAGAGCCATAGAGATAAACAGCACGGAAACAGACCCTTCGGTCCAACTCGTCCATGCTGACTAGATATCCTAAATAAATCTAGCCCAGCATGTGGTCCATATCCCTCTACTTCCTATTCATATACCCATCCAGATGCCTTTAAAATGTTGTAATTGTACCAGCCTCCTCTACCACTTCCTCTGGCAGCTCATTCCATACATGCACCACACTCTGCATGAAAAAGTTACCTCTTAGGTCCTTTTTAAATCTTTTCCCTCTCACCTTAAACCTATGCCCTCTAGGTTTGGACTGCCCTACCCTGGGGAAAAGACCTTGACCCTATCCATGCCCCTCATGATTTTAAAAACTTCTATAAGGTCACCCCTTGGCTTCCGATGCTCCTGGGACAAATAGCCCCAGCCTATTTAGCCTCTCCTTGTGGCTCAAGCCCTCCAGCCCTGGCAACATCCTTGTAAATCTTTTCTGAACCCTTTCAAGAATCACAACATCCTTCCTATAGCAGGGAGTTTGAAACTGCACACAGTATTCCAATAGTGGCCTAACCAATGTCCTGTACTCAATGCACTGGCCAATAAAGGCAAGCATACCAAACACCTTCTTCACTATACATACTTGCAACCCATTCCACATCACCTGCTTGATCCATTGTGTCTCGTTAGAAGCTGCCAGTTTGTGGGGTGGTTAAACAGGATTGTCTTAAATGGTGCGATTTACAGAAGTTGAAAAGTCAGACACCAGGGAGCCACAATGTCCTGCCTGTGGGTGCCACTTCTAATCCCTTCCTGAATAACCGCCTGACATTTAGTGTCATTTAAACTGCTCATACCTCAGAATGTCATAAATCTCAAACTGTGCTCCCTCAATGGCTTGGCTTGCTGCCTAATGAGGAACTAAGACTCACAGATTGGGAAATTACACAGAATCCACATCACAGTTACAGGCTATTTCGCCCAACTGGTCCATGCCAGCAATTCTGCTCTACATGAGCTTCCTTCAAATTCTACTTCATCTAACCCCCATCAACATATCTTTCTATCCCTTTCCCACACATAGACTGGTCTAGCTTCCCTTGCAATGTATTAATACTATTCAACTCAACTACTTGTGACAGAAAGTCTTGTGATGCAGTGGATAGAATCCCTGCCTCTGAGGCAGAGGTTCCTGGTTCAAGTCCCACTCCAAGACTAGATGGCCAAGGAAGTTATGTTGACAGCATGGGCAAACAGGTCAAGGGTCAGCCTGTAAATCACCCTACTGGGAGGTGGTAAGATCAGAAGGCACTTCTGGGTCAGCCGTGGATTTCACATCTACATGAGGGAAACAATGTCGTAGCCTTTACTATCATTAGCCACAGCTCCAGGTTATAGTGTGCAATGGCAGTATCGTGGTCCTAGTCCCACACATCTCTCTCTCCTAGGAGCTTCTGTTAGAGCCAGGAGAAATGGACCGACAAGACAATTTCCCTTCTCCAGCTTGGGGTGGGGAGGTGGGGGCGTGCTGGGTGCGGGGGGCCGGGGGTGATGGGTCGGGGGGGGGCATGTTTTTAGAAGCCTTCCTGCACCTGCTCCCCCAACCCTGAACTCATACACTGCATCAAGTCTGTGATCTCCTTGCGCACAGGGAATCATAAACACAAGGAGGCCATTCAGCCCAGCATGCCTGTGCCAACTCTTCCCAAGAGGTATCCAATTAATCCCTTTCTCTACCCTCTTTGCTTTTTCCCATAGCCCTGCAGCCTTCTGTTTTTCTCTCCAATGTGCAAAATCTGTGCTCTCTGTGGTTAGAGAAATACTTAACAGGAAAGCAGTTCACTGCATCAAAACTCTTCATCATTTCGAACAATTCTATTCAATTGATCAAGCTGCTCACCAATACAGCACAGGGCAATGAACACACCCATGAAACCATCAGGTGATGGTGAGGCAGGTTTTCTGCATGTACCCTACAATCAGACAACCAATGGCACTGGGCGATAGTATGGAAATCAGCTCCCCAGAGGCTTTGGAACAGGCATTGAACAAATGAAACTTGAGACCTGAATATTCACCATTTTTTTAGGAAGGATTTGAAGGCCTTTGATGGGATACAGAGGAGGTTTATCAGGATAGCTCTATAATCAATGGAATTTAGCAATAAGGTTAGGTTGGAAATCCTGGGTTTAGTCTCCTTAGGAAAAAGGAGGTTGAGATTGGTGTGTGGACATGCCCAGCTCACTACATGATAGAAACTCCTGCTCTTGATGAAGGCTGTGCACTTTAAGTGCAGGAAGCTACAGGTCAGCTTTGTCTAGTGTTGGATAGGGAAACCACTTCCTGGTTTAACTAGGACAGTCGCTTGTAATTAACAAGATTGAGTTTATTATATGTTACCAAGTGGTTACATTGATGTGTTGGACGCTGTTATACTGTCTGAGGACCAGATGTATGGTCTCACTTCTTCAAGATTCTAAACTGTTCTGCCCACAATTCTAAAAGACCTCATCTTAAAGCACTCCCCAACATTAACCCTTTCTGACCCATATACAACAGAGGGGAGGTTTGGTAGGGGTGTGCAAAATAATGACATGTTTGTTAAGGTAGACAAAGAAACACTTTTCCCATTAGCTAATGGTACAAGGATGAAGGGTCACAGATTGAAGGCCTTGGGCAGAAGATGTAGGGAGGAATGTGAGGACAAATTTTCTTACACAGCCATGGTAATGACCTGAAGCTCACTGCCTATGAGGGTAGAAGGGTAGGTGATCACTGATTTCAGGACACTTGGGGAGAAGAAGCTTGAAACGATACAGTGGCTCAGTGTTTAGCCTGCTGCCTCACAGCGTCAGGGAGCCAGGTTCGATTCCACCCTCGGGCGACTGTCTGTGTGGAGTTTGCACATTCTCCCTGTGTCTGCGTGTGTTTCCTCCGGGTGCTCCAGTTTCCTCCCACAGTCCAAAGGTGTGCAGGTTAGGTGGATTGGCCGTGCTGCATTGCCTGTAGTGTTCAGGGATGTGTAGCTTATGTGGGGTGGGTCTGGGTGGGATGCTTTGTGGTTCGGTGTGGACTTGTTGGGCCGAAGGGCTTGTTTCCACACTGTAGGGATTCTATAAAAAATTCTATAAATAAATTACACGGAGCAGAAGAATTGGACTGGATTGCTCATCAGAGAGTTCATGTGGATCCAATGGGCCATTTGGCCTCCTTTGCTGTTGTGCAGAGGGACCTTGCACATGAGTCACAAAAAGTTGGTTTGCAGGTGCAGCAGTTCATAAAGAAGGCAAGTGGAATTTTGTCCTTGATTGCTAGAGGGAAGGAGTTTAAAAACAGGGAGGTTATGCTGCATCTGTACAAGGTGCTGATGAGATCACACCTGGAGTACTGCGTACAGTTTTGGTCTCCTTACTTGAGAAAGGGTGTCCTGGCACTGGAGAGGGTGCAGAGGAGGTTCACGAGGTTGATTCCGGAGTTGAGGGGGTTGGCTTATGGGAAGCGATTGCATGGACTGGGACTATACCCATTGGAATTTAGAAGAATGAGGCGATATCTTATAGAAACATATCAAATTATGAAGGGAATCGATAAGATAGAAGCAGGGAGCTTGTTTCCACTGACGGGTGAAATTAGAACTAGGGGGCATAGCCTCAAAATAAGGGGGAGCAGATTTAGGACTGAGTCGAGGAAGAACTTTTCACCCAAAGGGTGTGAATCTGTGGAATTTCCTGCTCAGTGAAGTAATTGAGGCTTCCTCATTGAATGTTTCTAAGGCAAAGACAGATAGATTTTGAACAGTAAAGGAATTAAGGGTTATGGTGAGCAGGAGCGTAAGTGGAGCTGAGTCCACTAAAAGATCAGCCATGATCTTATTGAATGGTGGAGCAGGCTCAACAGGCCATATGGCCTACTTCTGCTCCTGTTTCTTGTCTTCTTATGTAACTCTAGCCCCAAGTCCCTCAATGACATTACTCTCTTGGATGTCCATCAAAAGCTGTTTAAAAATTGTGGATGTTCTGATCTGCTTCGTGGGGAGGTAGAGAAGCAAGTAGGGTCTTACCTGGTGGACTTGTTCCAGTCATCTTCTTCTGAATGAAACAGTCCATATCTGCATCAATGTCACACAGCTCCAAAACCTTCCTCGTCTCCTCATACAGCTGTAGAGAGGGTAAAACATTGGATGAAAACTCAAGCTGCAATATGTGGACATTCTCACTCACCAATTACATTCTGGATATCGCCAGGGAATCAGAAAAAATGCAACTCAGCAGTCACTCATCATTCAATGTGCAGTAACATTGATCAGGATAACAGCTTGCTCTATAAACATTTGTCAACAAATAGCCAGAGGGTGCTGAAAGATCCCAATCTCTGTGTTGTTATGATGAGGAGGTGCCGGTGTTACACTGAGGTGGTTAAAGTCAGTAGTCACATGACACCAGGTTATAGTTCAACAGGTTTACTTGAAACCACAAGCTTTCAGAGCACTGCTCCTTCGTCAGGTGAACTATAACTTGGTGTTGTGTGACTTCTAAATAGCTAGAGCTTCAAGAAACGTACCTTATTAGTTGTCAAGTACTTTAAGGTCACCCAAAGGCACTGTTACGAATATATGTCTTTCTACAACTGCCCAATTCGAGGGAGGAGGCCACTCCCACTGCCAATTTCTAAGCAATGCCCTACTATGGAAGTGATGGGGGCATTTGGACATCTTCCACTGAAGACTTCATTCAAGAGGAAGTTGGATAAGTGATTAATAGAGAAATCTAGGGGAAGGAGATGGAAACAGGGTGAAATTTAAGGAAAACGGAAGAAGGCTTGTGTGGAACATAAAACTTGTGCTGCAAGTTCGAAGAAAACCAGGAATCAGTTTAGTTCTGACAGCCTCCCAAGGTCAAATTTCAGAATAGCATAGACTGTCCAAGAAAGATGTCATTTAAGAATCATAGAATTCCTACTGTGCAGAAAGAGGCCGTTTGGCCGTCAAGACTGCACCTACCCTCCATTGATTATTTCGACACCCCACCCTATCCCTGCATTTCCCATGGCTAATCCACCTTAACCTGCACATCTATGGACTGTGGGAGGAAATCAGTGCACCCAGAGGAAACCCAAACTCCGGACATTTACCCGAGGCTGGAATTCAACCTGGGTCCTTGGTGCTGTGAAGCAGCAATGCTAACCACTGAGCCAGCGTGCCAACTTTCTGAAGCCCTGGCCCAGTGCCTTCAAAGAAGAGAGAATAAACCTCTGCCAAGGAGGATTGAGCTCTTGGCCAAGTTACTGGAGAGCTTCTGGGGAGGGAGGTGACAGAGCAAAAAAAACCAAATTTAAAAATGGGATAGATTGAAGTGTTGATTTTAAGAAGCCACAGCAGAGTTGAGGACCAGGCAGCATTCTGGTCAATCAGTACAATACCTCGTCGTCCTTCACACACTGCAATGACAGCTGGTTGCAATGCATCCACAGGGCATTCCTCAGGTTGTTGATCCTATCACACTCCTGCTGGTGAAACACCTGCAAGTCAAACGGGGAACACTGATGAAGAATGAGCCACAGCATTACCACCGCCCAAAGCATGTTCAAACACTCTGACCAGAGAGGCACAATTTAGATTCAAAATTCCCAGGGGTAGTTCGCATTTACTGAATTCCAGTGAGTATCAGACAGTGTCAGGGATAAGACCACAAGGCATAGGAGCAGAAAATACGCCATTTGCCCATCGAGTCTGCTCCACCATTCAATCATGGCTGATAAGTTCCTCAACCCCACAACAATAGGCAGAAGCCAGCACAAAGACATAGAGTTCAAAGAGACAAGACACATCAACGCATTGAGACAAACTGACCCTGGAACTACCATAAATTTTAGCTTTCATAATGAAGTAATTTCTCTACTTTTCACAGGCAACCAGGTTTTCAAGATTAAGATGACATTTTTACAAATATTATTCACAAAGGATGACAAAGTTGATTTTGTTAGATCAATTTGGAGTTGATTGGGCCAATGATGACTGCTGAAGATCTAGAGTTGGTTCTTCAATGAAGCTCACATCAAGTCTCCCCCAACTTTTCCTTCTCCAAAGAGAGCAATCCCTAGGGGCTTTCCTTTTCAGAGACCGATCATCAATGCAATTCTCTTCTTGAATGGAGACTTTTAAGACGTTCTACAGTGACCTATGGTTACCTACATATGTGCGATTATATGGTCAACATCAAGTTTGGCTCCAGTGCTTGAATACCATTATAAGATTTGCTCTCATCACCATTCACAATGATCCCAGCACTTAACACCTAGGTTAATACAATATCAGATTGTTTTATCAGGAAAGACTGAGGAACCTATTGAAAGAATATTAGTAAATTGGAGAGGGTTTCAGAAAAGATTTACTAGGATGTTGCCTATTCATGTACCCATCCAGATGCCTTTTTAAATGTTGTAATTGTACTTGCCTCCACCACTTTCCCTGGCAGCTCATTGGGTTTATAAAATCATGACATGCGTAGATAGGGTGAATAGCACAGGTCTTTTCTCTAGGTTGGGCAGTTCAAAACTAGGGGGCATTTTTTAAAGTGACAGGAGAAAGATCTAAAAGGGACCTAAAGGGAGCCTCTTTTCATGCAGAAGAGGGTGGTTCATATGTGGAATGAACTGCTAGGGGAAGTGGTAGATGCAGGTACAGTTGCAACATTTAAAAAACAATTGGACATGTACATGAATAGGAAAGATTTAGAGGGATATGGGCCAAATGCAGGCAAATGGGACTCCTTTAGATTGGGAACATTTGTCGGCATGGACGAGTTAGACCGTAGGGTCTGTTTCCATGCTATGACTCTATAATCTGGGAACATTGCCTCTCATTCTTCAACACTCAAGAGACTATCTTATTGAAATTTGTGAAATTCTGATAGGATGTCACAGAGAGGCTGTAGTTAGGATGTTTCCCCGGGCTGGTGAATCACGAACCAGGGGACTTCATCCCAGAATAAGCAGCAAGCCATTTAGCACTGAGATGATGAATTTCTTCACCCAGAGTATGGTGAATCTCTACTCCAGAGGGCTGTGGAAGCTCAAACATTGGTTCAAGATAGAGATCAATCGATTTCTGGAGACAAATGACATCAAGGAATATCAGGATAGTATGGGAAAAGTGGCCATTGGTGTAGATGATAAGCTAAAGTCTAATTAAATTGTTGGGGCAGGTTCAATGGGCTGACTGGCCTCTATTCCAATGTTCTATGTACACCGGCTAATTGAACAAAGTATTGAAGGCTGTCTGAACTTTCATGGGAAAGAGGCCAAGAAAGAATTAACACTTTGAGGAACTGATGACAGGAAAAACATATGACACTTGGAGTTGACATTCATCCTTAAACAGGAAGAACAACACCTGAGGTCTGGTATAAAAAGTGCTATTTGAAACGTAGGGGCGTCATAGCAAGGAAATTATGTTGAACCTGTATAGGACATGGGATCAGCCTTGACAGGGTATTGTGTCCAGTTCCAAACGCAGGCCTTTTGCAGAGATGAAGGCACTGCAAAGATTGCAGAGACTGATTCCAGGGATGAGGGACTTAGATTACTTGGATGGATTAGAAAGACTGGGTTGGAGAATAAGGGTTGACAGGAGATTTGATGGGAGTTTTCTCCAGACGGAGCAGATAGGGAATAAGCATCCCCATTGGTGGAAGGATTGAGAACTAGTGGGGACACGGATTTAAAGTGATTGTCAAAAGAAGCAAATGTAACTTGAGGAAAAACCTCTTTTATGCAGCGAGAGGCTAGGATCTGGAATCTGCCTGAGACAGTCATGGAGGCAGGTTCAACTGTGCCTTTCAAAAAGGAATTAGGGAGTGGGATTGGCTGAGTTGCTCCTCCAAAGGGCTGGCAGGACACACTGGGATGAAGGGCCACCTCCTGTGCTGTAACCATATGAGCTATTATCAAATTACTGTTGAAAGGGAAACACCCTTCACTAAAGGAGATTTACAAGTACCTCACAGGTATTGATGTGCTCTTGTTCCCACTCTTGTCGAACCTTGTCCAGTTGCTCCACATTCTGTTGATAAACGCGTTCTGAAAAACAAAGTCAAAAGCCCCCAAAGGTTTTATGTCAGAATTGTCACTGAAATGTGTGACTTACAGAAAACAACTTCACACAGAGTGTGAACTGCCCAGGGAGATGTTCAAAGGTAATATCAGCAAGTGTTTGAGAGAGTGTCAGGCAGCACTTGGTGTGATAAAAACTGTCAGCTCATGGATGGATATGGTAAACTCTGTATTCAGTTTCTGAACTTTGGCTGGTGGCTGTATATTCTTGTATTTTGTGTATAATAATCTAGCCCAAAGTAATATGCTCAAACAGTAGAGCGATGTGGAAGTTGGCTAAATGGCTAGAGTGTAGTGCAAAATGATGTTGAAAGCACAGGTTCAATTCCTGCTAATAACTATAATAGGCTATGGACACCTAGCTCTGCACCTCACCCCATGTTTGACATTGCCTGATGCCCCTCGATCTATATAACCGATCATCTCTCCCTGTTAAAGACAGATGTGGACTACAGCTAGTTACTTGGCACAGCTTAGTGATGCTGCAACTACAAGATATATCTAATTCTTTATATTCCCATTCTCTCTCCTTCTTTGCTGAAGACTAGGACATTGGTTTAAGGTGTTAACCCATAGGTCCTGTACTGCTCTAAAAAGACATCAGAACTGTGCTTGGGAACGGAACACAAATCTAAACTCAAATTCAACCGCGTTTTCTAAACATAGACAATGATTCAATGGCATTCCAATTCCAAAAAAAAAAATTCCTCTACATCTAACCTTGTGTGGCTAATGATCAATTACCCCTGTGCACCTATAATAATGCCAGACAATCAGATCAGCAGCCCTGCTGCAAACTTGTCACCTTGAAAAGAAATACTACCTATTTTATTGTAATCAATCAAAGTCTACTATATACATGACTGAGACAATCCAGTCAACCCCTTTCCAGAAAACAGTCAGCCAATGAGTCTGGGCCAGTTTGGTATTTAAGTTAAAGATGACTGACCACCAAAAATATTCACTCCCAACACCACAATGTGGCTGTAACCACTGCCCTGTTGAGTAATATGTATCATCTTCAAGGTGCACTGCACAAGATGACAGGACACCTTTGACAGAATCCTCCAAACCTGTGACCTCTAACACCCAGAATAACAAGGGCAGCAGATACAGGGGAACATCCTCACCTGCAAGTTCCCCTTCACTGTTGCTGAGTTAAAAAACCTGGGGCTCCCTTTCTAACAGCACTGCGGCTTGAATTACCACAAACAGTTTGTAATGATTCACTAAGATGGCTTACTGCTACCTTTTCAAGGATGTGAAGGAATAGGTAACAAATCCTGTCAAATGATGCCTACAACCCACAAGCAAATATTAAAAGAAGCATCTAATATACAAAGATTATCCTCTCCTGAGTTTCTGATTTCAGTGCCATTCCAGGACATGCCAATCTAACCCGAACCCCATAAATTGTGCAACCAGCTCCCAACTAGTCAAGTAAACTTAATCAGATTCACTTTATATTTCAGGAACAAAAACAGAAGTTGCTGGAAAAGCTCAGCATCTGTGAAGGAAAAAAAAGTGTTAACGTTTCGGGTCCAGTGACCCTTCCTCAGAACTGGATCCGCAGTTCTTTTCTGATGAAGGGTCTAGGCCCGAAACGTCAGCCTTTCTGCTCCTATGATGCTGCTTGGCCTGCTGTGTTCATCCAGCCCTGCACCTTGTTGTCCCGCAGTTCTTACAGTTTTCTTTTTAACTTTGTACTTCCATGGATAGAAACAAAAGTCATTCTCACCCGACAACCTTAACCAGAATGCACCTTAACCAATATACAAATAACTCAGACAAATTTGCTGGAAAAGCTCAGCAGGTCTGGCAGCATCTGTGAAGGAAAAAACAGAGTTAACGTTTAGGGTCCGGTGACACTTCCTTAGTGGACCCGAAACGTTAACTTTGTTTTATCCCTCACAGATGCTGCCAGACCTACTGAGTTTTTCCAGCAAACTTGTTTTTGTTCCTGATTTACGGCATCCGCAGTTCTTTCGGTTTTTATTACAAATAACTCAAGCCGATCTTGACTTGAAGATCAGGCTTTCTTATTTTAGCATTGAACACCAGGAAATACAGACTCCAATAAACACCTTGATAAGCAAATCCAGAGAAAGCTTCAATAACTGTCTGAAATTTGGTGAACGTACATTTCGTTTATAATTTCTTAATCAATGTACTTTTCCAGATATACAGAATGCAAAATGACAGCATTGCTAAAGTCTGCCTGGCACTTACAAATGAGAGCAGGTTAGTTATTTTAAAACCCCACAGGTGATGTGTAAATATGAATCAGTGACTAGGCCTGTTTATGACTGAGACAGATGGTTTGCACTTATTTTCTGACACTTATCTAATGGCAGAAGCAGCTAATTAACACTCTGACAAAGACAGTGTGATATTTCCAGTCAAGGTGTTGGTATGACATCCATCTGTTAACCAAAAGATTCTGTAATTTCATCCTATCGCAATAACATTTTTATTGTGTCCACCATTATTTCACATGTGGAAGCAGAGTGTGAATGTAATTTCTGACTAGAATTGGGAGTAACTTCCCTCAACATAGAAAATAGGAGCAGCAGTAGGCCATTCGGCCCTTTAAGGCTGCTCTGCCATTCAATATAATCATGGCTGATCATCCAACTCAGTCCCCTTTTCCTGCTATCTCTCCATACTCTTTGATCCCTTTAGCTCTAAGAACTATATCTAACTCCTTCTTGAAAAAATTCAATATTTTAGCCTCAACTGCTTCCACAGCAAATTCCACAGACTCCCAACTCTCTGGGTGAAGAAATTTACATCTAACATTTACATTTGGCGGTACAGACATGATAGACCAAACAGCCTGTACAATCCTACTGTTTAGTTCTATGATAACACCCCACTACTGAGACAGCAATATCAGGATTTCATATTTGTTGGCAATATGTTTTGTATCCAATTGGCCAGTTAAATCACTGGCCAAATCATATTATTTACAATTGGAGTCAATATTCCATTAATAGAGGTTAATTGTTTGGTTGGCTTGGGTATTAACTGGGGACTTAGCTCTGTTTAACCAGACTGAAAGTGTGCTTATTGTAACAACATGTTACGTGTTTCTCTATGAACATAAGCTCACAGGAAGCTCCTTGCACAGTGCTTACTCTTCCTAGCAGTCACATGGAAGACTGGGGTTTGATCCCCTGTTGGGGAGAGGTTGCTCTCTGTGCAATTGGCTGTGGATAAAGAGGTGTGTGTTTTTCGGGTTTTTGTGGCATCGCGGTGGTTCTCCTACATCTGGGCTAGAGGTTCTGGGTTCAAGTGCATCATAACAGATTCGAGGTGCATCCTGTAACAGAAATACAGGCAGTCCCTGGCTTGCAAATGGGTTCTGTTATAAGTCATAATCATAAGAGTCATACAGCACAGAAACAGACCCTTCAGTCCAACCAGTCCATGCTGAACATAATCCCAAACTAGACTAATCTCACCTGCCTGCTCCTGTCCCATATCCCTCCAAACTTTATCTATTCATGTACATATCCAAGTGTCTTTTATACGTTGTAATTGTGCCCACATCCACCAATTCCTCAGAAAGTTTATTCCACACATGAATCATCCTCTGTGTAAAAAATTCGTTCCTCATGTTTTTTTTAAAATTCCTCTCCTCTCACCTTAAAAATACACCACCCTAGTCTTGAAATTCCCCAGCCTAGGGAAAAGACACCATTAATCCCATCGAGACCTCTCTTGATTTTATAAACTTCTATAAGGTCACCTCTCAACCTCCTATGCTCCACTGAAAAAAGTCCTAGCCTATCCAGCCTTTCTTTATAACTTAAACCTTCCATACCTGGCAACAGCCTAGTAAATCTCTTCTCAACCCTCTCCAGCTTAATAATATTCTTTGTATAAAACGATGACCAGAATTGGACACAGTATTCCAGAAGAGGCCTCACCACTGTCCTATACAATCTTCAACATGACGTCCCCAACTCCTATACTCAAAGGTCTGAACAATGAAGGCAAGCATGCTAAACGCCTTCTTCACCACCGCCTAAATGTGATGCAAACTTCAAAGGATTATGTACCTGAAACTCTAGGTCTCTCCGTTCTGGAGTCCATTTGCAAATCGACTTGCCTAGCTATCAATACATTAAAAAATTAATGTCTCCAAGTCAAACTGCAGAAACTAAATGTATCATTTTCTTCCTTACATTTAAAGATGGTTGCTGAAGAGTCTCAAATATATGTATTATTTTAATCTTGACTTGGTATCAAAAGAACGTTTCAGTCTATAGTTATCTTTGAACAATCAACATTGGTTTTAACACCATTAGGATGCTATATTTATCCTGTGAAGTAATGCATGTACTGTTCAGAAAGTTAAATAACTAAACCTTGGCAAAGCTACATCTGTGACGTACTGTAACGGAAGCTTCATTCCTATTTTAAACAAAGCGACTAATCTACTTATTTTAACAACATTAACACAGCCCAAAATCTCCTGAAAAGTGCAACCAACCTATTATTACAATTAGAAGGCGCAGTTCCGGTCCACAGCTGTTGATAGGGATGACAGTAATTAAAGGATAAAATGATTATAGGGAATGTGGAAGATTATTCCTGTCTAACTTGGCTTCTCTCTGTGTGCTCCAAGTTCATAGTTTCAATGTCAATATGGTCCAGTTGCCTCCAAGCCTAAACGTTTCTGGTTGGACTCTTGTGGTGCAGTGGCAGTGTCTCTGCCTCTAGGCAGAGTCCCACCTGCTACAGAGGTTTGCCTAAACAGGTTAGTTAAAAAAAACTCTATAAATTATTGGTTATATCCCTACTAAGGACCTCTGTACATAACCTTAATGGTCAAGCATTGTATGGAAGGAGAGTTGCATTGCTGAAGGTTCTGGTCTTCAGATGGGACTCAAAGCCATGGTCCTGTTTGTGCTAATAAAGACAAAATACTGTGAATGATGGAAATCTGAAACAAACACAGAGAACACTGGAGAAACTCAAGAGGTCTGGCAGCATCTGTGGACAGAGAAGCAGAGTTAACTTTTCGAGTCCAGTAAAATTCTTCTTCAGAACGTGAAGAAGAGTGACTTGGGACTTGAAACATTGTCTGTTTTTCACTCCACCGATACAGCTGGACCTGCTGAGTTTCTCCAGCATTTTCGGTGTTTGGTTCTATTTGTTCCAGTGGTTCAAGTCACCAATGAGAAGATTGCACAGTTCTCCTGTTGAATGGGGGTGAGTGGGGGCGAGGGGGGGTGATGCGGGTGCTGTGTTCTTTGGTATCTTGATAGAAGCTCCCCCCTTCTAACACAAAACAAACCACAACACCAACTGGGCTCATTGATCCAGCTGGCTTTTGGAATTTGCCACTGGAAAGCTGGGATATTTCTTGGTTTAATTAACAGCAGCATGACACCTCAAGGCAATTGGTTCTTGGTGAACCGGCATGTCGCCGACAGACATGATAATAGGCTGCTTTCCAGTTTGTGGCTTGATGAAAAATATTGCACTGAACGTTTCTCCAAGAGGGAATGCTATTAATTGCAAAACCTAACCATACCCCCAACCTTCGCACCCCACCCCCTCCTAAATATGTTCAGCATGCAAGCTGCTGTGTTGCCATTGATTTTACTTTCAAACTATTGGCGTGTCATGGGGCAGAATTTATTTTCTCGATAAAGCTATCACCTTCCCCTGCACCCCTAACTCCGCAGCTGACGGGCTGTTTAAGAACAAGGGACACCACTTGTCTTTAAGATTCATGTCCACAGCTGCTTGTGACCAATGGTCACATGATAGGAAGATATCAAGACCACAAGTCAGTGTAGCAGTTTATTTCCTATCATTGTTGGGGAGGAGGGTTAAAAAACCTTGCAAACAGAAAGGTCACTGTGCATTTTATTCATTCTCTCATAGGACCTTGGTGGTGCTGGCTAGGCCAGCATTTATTGCCTCTCCCTATGGGAAGGTGGTGGTGAGCTGCCTTCTTAAACTGTTGCAATCCCTATGTTGACACACAATGCACAGTGGCTCAGTGGTTAGCACTGCTGCCTCACAGCACCAGGGAGCTGGGTTCAGTTCCATCCTCAGGCGACTGCCTGTGTGGAGTTTGCACATTCTCCCCATGTCTGCATAGGTTTCTTCCCACAGACCAAAGATGTGCAGGCTAGGTGGACTGGCCATGCTAAATTGGCCACAGTATCCAGAGATGTGCAGACTAGGTGCATTAGCCATGGCAAATGCAAGGTTACAGAGATTGGGCCTGAATGGGATACTCCTCCGAGGGATGGTGTGGACTAAATAGCCTGCTCCCGCACTGTAGGGATTCTCAGGGAGTGAATTTTATGATTTTGACCCAGCAACACTGAAGGAACAGCAATGTATTTCCAAACCAGGGTGATGAATGGTTTGGAGGGGGTGGTGTTCGCATGTATCTATCGCCCTTGTCCTTTTATATAGAAGTGGTTATGGGTTTGGAAAGAACTGTCTAAAAATCTAGGGCACAAAATAACCAAAATTCCACTGCAGTCCAGCTGCAGACTGGATTCAAAAACACTCTGTTTAATTGTAAAACAAAAAGTCCCTTTCTCGTGCCAGTTGTACTAGGGAGCATGGACTCAATTTCAAAGACCCCTTCTGCATTTTCAATATAACCATCCACATTATGAAGTTTTAAGGAAATGATTGTTAGAAGCTGGAATCTGTAAATAGAAAAGTAATGAATTAATGATTGGGAGCACCAAGGTGAGAGAACTGGTCCAGAGAGAATGGCCCACATTTAGTCAAAGATTTTGGGTACAGGAACTAAGTTTTTTTCTTATCATTGGAGGGAGATGGATGGGCATGAGGCTTGAAGGAGCTTCTGTGAACACAGCATTGGGGGTAGTTGAGGAAAAAAAGTCAATTTTCAGCCTAGCAGTCACTATCTGAGGTATAAAAAATACACTGTTAAGATCCTCGTCAAGACTTGCAGAATAGGAACTAGATGGTACATACCTGCTTCATTCACTGCATCTCGAGATTGCTTGGCTTTATTCTGACTCTGTGAAACAGATGCACAGATTGTTTAATTAGAATGAGATGGTAGCATAGAGGTAATGTCACTGGAATAATAATCCAGAGATACAGGATAATCCTTTGGGGACATGGATTCACAATCCCACCACATCAGCTGGTAGTGTTTCCATTTAATTCAATAAGCAGGCATTGACCACTAGTAACAGTGACCATTAAACTCATCTGGTTCACAAATGCCCTTTAAGGAAAGAAATCTGCCATCCTTCCCTGGTCTGGCCTACACGTGAATTTGGAGTCAGTGCAGTGTGGTTGACTCTTACCTGACCTCTGAAATCACCCAGCAAGCCAGTCTATCGAGGGCATTTAGAGATGGGCAATAAATTCTGGCCTTGCCAGTGACACCTACATCACATAAGAGGAAATTGCTGTCAGAGCATCTTAATAAATGCAATATCAACCAGGGAGCTAAACCCTCCCGATGTGCCCCATACTTATTCAGACATTCAAGACAGGAGCACATAGTTGCCCCAGGTTCCTCATGCCCTTATATAACATCCATCCCAGCAGCATTTCCTGTCGGATTCAGTTGAAGAAGATCAGGAACAAAGGAATTTTATCCAGTAATTGTCAATGCCCACAGGCTCCAACAACTCAAGAAGCTCAACACCAACTGGGACAAAGCAGCCTGCTTTATTGGCATCACCTCCACAAGCATCCACTCCCTCCACCACCAACACTCAGCAGCACTGTGTGCTCTCTACAAGATGCACTGCAGAAATTCCTAAAGATCCTCAGACAACACCTTCAAAATCCACAACCACTACCATCTAGAAGGATAAGGGCAGCAGATACGTAGGAATACCAACATCTGCAAGTTCCCCTCCAAGCCACTCACCAAACTGACTTGGAATTATGTCACTGTTCCTTCACTGTGGCTGGGCCACAGTCCTGGAACTCCTTCCCTAACAGCATTGTGGGTCTACCTACAGCACATGGACTGCAGTGTTTCAAGAAGGCAGCTCACTACCACCGTCTCAAGGGCAAATAGGGTAGGCACTAAATGCTGGACCAGCCAGTAATGTCAAAGTCACATCAAGTGAATTTAAAAAAAATACTCCTTCCTCAAATTGATGCATGGGAAGGACAGGGTGGGAGAGGGGTTGTAGAACCTTGTGTTTTCTCACTCTGGGGGGCTCGTGCTCAAACAGAGCATGCAGGTATCGAATGCAGAAGACCACAACAATCAGCTGTGTGTGTCACACCAGATTTGACATGCACAGCTCCAGTTTTAACATTTTCGTATCTTTGTGTGGGCTCTGATCAGTAGTGCTCAGGGATCACACATTTAAAAATAAAATTTCCAGGTGGCCTCAAAAGCTCGCACAACAGAGTCCAGCTACAATGCAAGTCTGCGCAAAAACAAACCATCGCAACTAAATGGAGACACTCCAAGCCCTGGAGTACAATGCTTGGATGTGGTTACATCTGGGGGTTATGCATAAACAGCTCTGCCACACACAGTCTGGAGTTTTCAGCTGGTGGTAAAGAACAGAGTGGCTACACCAGATAAACCCTGGATTCCTTTAAAATTCAGCTAAACAGGTTCTTCCATAATCCACTCATTCTCTGCCCTGCCAGTTTCATCTGCTACAAAATACTTGTTCAGACTTTTCTAAATATTGCATTATCTTATACAGTATTTTGGACAGTGGGGGGGAGGTGAGAGAGAGAGAAACACACACATGCACAGCAGTGTGGGGGGTTAAAGATGGACAGAACGAGACACACAGGGTGGACGAGGAGAGGGAGAGAGACAGAAAATGTGACACAGATGCAGCAGGGATGAGGGGGTGGAAAAGGGGAGGTGGAGGAGGAGACAGAGAGAGAGAGAGACATACACAGAGTACAGGCAGGGAGAGAGATGGAAGGAGATAAGAGAGAGTGAGAGAAAGAAAAAGACAAAAAGAAATTGGGACTTGAACAGAGAGAAACTGAGGAGGGACAGAGAGAAAAAGGACCACATTCACAAACACGGAGTGGGGCAAGAAAGAGAGAAAGGTGGGAGAATGAGTGGAAGAAAGAAAAAAACAGCCAGAGAGAGATAGAGTTGCACAGAGAGAGATGGGGGTTAGGGGAAACGGACAAAAAGAGATAAATGTCTCTGAATGCAAGACCTCTCTTGTACCAGAGTTGCAATAAGACAATTTATACATTTGTCGTGATTGTAACAAGGTCAGCTAGGTGGACCTCAGAGAATATGAGTTCCCTCACTGGGGCTGTCAATCTGGTCTAATCAGGGAGCCCTGGCTGACAGATTTAAACAGGAGTGTCAGAGGATCTGTTCACTCTGAGAGCTGACTCTGAGGGAGCTGGATCAGTGTCAAGGACTCTCCACATGTAAATAAAGGGTGACTTGGTGACAGGATACCGGCCTCTGTGGAGTTATTTCACATTTCAATGTCACTGTCCAAGATGCATATTTTAGAAAGGTGTCAATTGAAAAGAGACCCTAATTCAGATAGATGTCGGCCAATTGTGGTATTGCATTCCAAAGGCCAGCAATTGAGATGAATGATCCCTGAACACTGCTAAGGATGCAGGAGCAGGGATGTGTGATCTGAGGCTGTGAGGCTGTTCTCAAAAGGTTTATATTCTGCATAGCCACCCGAGTGAGTGACAGGAGTATTGTTAGGGTTCAACACAGTATCAACACCTTCAGCAGAATATAGTGAGTGTCCAAATTGTGCTGTGCCTTCAATGAGGCTTAATTATATTTCCCACCTGCTCTTGATCTCCTGTGTCCAACAGAAAAAGACCAGCAAATATGAACAATAGTGAAAGGATAAAGCCTAAGAGACATCACAGTTACCCGAAAGAGAGGAAGAGAACATACATTCCCAAAATTGAATCAGAGATAGTAGGAACTGCAGATGCTGGAGAATCCAAGACAACAAGGTGCAGGGCTGGATGAACACAGCAGGCCAAGCAGCATCATAGGAGCAGAGAGGCTGACGTTTCGGGCCTAGACCCTTCATCAGAAAAGGGGGAGGGGAAGGGGGTTCCGAAATAAATAGGGAGAGAGTGGGAGGCGGATAGAAGAGGGATAGAGGAGAGGATAGGTGGAGAGGAAACAAAACAGGTCGAAGAGGCAGGGATGGAGCCAGTAAAGGTGAGTGTAGGTAGGGAGTTAGGAAGGGGATAGGTCAGTCCAGGGAGGACGGACAGGTCAAGGGGGCGGGATGAGGTTGGTTTTGGGATGCGGTAGGGGGAGGGGAGATTTTGAAACTTGTGAAATCCACATTGATACCATTGGGCTACAGGGTTCCCAAGCGGAATATGAGTTGCTGTTCCTGCAACCTTCGGGTGGCATCGTTGTGGCACTGCAGGAGGCCCAGGATGGACATGTCGTCTGAGGAAAATCTCCCCTCCCCCTACTGCATCCCAAAACCAGTCCAGCTCGTCCCTGCCTCCCTAACCTGTTCTTCCTCCCACCTCAAGCCGCACCTCCATCTCCTACCGACCAACCTCATCCCGCCCCCTTGACCTGTCCGTCCTCCCTGGACTGACCTATCCCCTTCCTAACTCCCTACCTACACTCACCTTTACTGGCTCCATCCCCGCCTCTTCGACCTGTTTGTTTCCTCTCCACCTATCCTCTCCTCTATCCCTCTTCTATCCGCCTCCCACTCTCTCCCTATTTATTTCAAAACCCCCTTCCCCTCCCCCTTTTCTGATGAAGGTTCTAGGCCCGAAACCTCATACATTCCGAAAAGTTCATACACAGAATCAAACTAATGACCAGAGATCAAAGCAAAAAAATATAGAACTGGCAGGCAAGGAATCAAGGATAAAATTACACAATAAAGAGGGTGAGATTTTTGGAGAAACAAATTCTAGTGGCAATAAAAAAGAAAAATTATTAAAAGGGAAACTGAAAGAGGAAAACAATAACCTTATTCTCTGCAGTGAACGTTTACCTTGTCAACTTGCTTCTGGTTTCCCGTGGACTGAACACGCTCAGCACTCTGCTCGGCCTCATCTGCCTCTTTACATTTCTGTTCATAGCATTTCTTTGACTGGAAAGTTATGAAAGACAGATTAAGGGACGTGCCCAGCAGGACACCTGGTTTAAATTGACTACCTCCACCCCCACGCCATGCCCCACACACCCACAAACACAAAACTATCCCACCCCCCCGCTCCCCACACACATCCCATGCACTCACAAACACAGGCAAAACCATACACCGCTCCCCCCCACCACACACACACACACACACACACACACACACCTCCTCACGCACAAACAAAACCACCACTCTCTCTCACAAACACACACAGAGACACACTGACACATACCCTGTAAACTCACACATAGACATGCTCCCACAACACACAGAACCACCCCTCCCCACACACACTCACACAGCTCAGCAAGTGGTGAGCTGCATCAGTTAGAAGTATCCAGTTTTATTGGAGTTCAGATACTGTTGCTGACTGTAGCTCCCTCATATTAGAGGAAGGAGAGGGAACGGAAGCAGGCTCCCATTCCTGCTCACCATCTACCCAATCCCCACCACTGTATGTGACGTAGGATAGGGAGGATCAAACTCAAATGTGATGTTCCTGTGGCCAAATAGCTTGCTGACACCTATGTTGAGGTTGCAGTTAAACGGCTGCTTATACACACTGTAAAAGATGACTATTTAAGAGATAGCTACTCTCTTCTCAAATTAAAAAAATAAATTGTCAAGGAACGAGATTCATTCACTTCTTTAAAAATAATCTTACAGAACAAGATGAGGCCATTCCACCCATTGTATCTGCTCTTTTAAAGAACTAGAACATAAGAACTGAAAGACATGGGAGCGGTAGGGGACCATTTAGCACCTCAAGCCTGCTCCATCATTTAATCATGGCCATTCATCTGAATTAACTTGACTTTGCCTTGATTCCTCGAACAGCCAACAATGTATTCATATCAGAAACAGAAATTGCTGGAGAAATTCAGCAGGACTGGCCAGCATCTGTGGGAAGGAAGCGGAGTTAACCGAATTCTGATGAAGAGTCACTGGACTCGAAACGTTAACTCTACTTTCTTCCCACAACGCTGTCAGACCTGCTGAGTTTCTCCAGTAATTTCTGTTTTTGTTCCAGATCTCCAGCTTCTGAAGTTCTTTGGCTTATCTTAATCTATCCCTATCGACCTACAATATATTCAATGATGGGGTGTCCATAATCTTCTGCGGTAGAGAATTTCAAAAGTTCGCAAACCACCGAATGAAGGAATTTCTTCAAATCTCAGTCCTAAACAATCAACCCCAAACCTCGAGACTGTGGCCGTGGGTTTTCGATTCCTCAGCCAGTGAAAATAATCTCTGAGTGTCTAACCTTTTAAATTCCTTTAGAATCCTGAATGTTTCAATCAGCTGACCTCTCATTCTTCTAAACCCCAGTGAATATTGACTCACTTACTCAATCTCTCCTTGCAGGAGAGTCCCTCACCTCAGGGACCAGTCTGATGAAGTCTCACCACACTGCTTCCAAGGCAACCATACCCTTCCTTAAAAGCTATACAATTAGATCCACTCTCGTAATCTATGCCCATTGCTCTGTAATATTCTCCCCTTCAAGTTTTCATCCAATTCCTTTTTAAAAGATACTTAGTTATTAATTAAGTTGTTTTCTTAAAATAGCATGTATTTTTTTAAACAAACAAATGCTATAAATGGAAATTCTTTGAGTTTTTGTCCTTTATCCAAAAATAGTCCACTTGAAGGAGTCCATTTTGTCAACTGCTCTGCGATGTTTTGCTTACATCAAGTGTCTTCTTGTACAAAGCCACTTTGCTCTTCTGAACACGATCCATAGCATTTTCATACTGTGGGTAAATGTGGCAAGGTTAGTACAGTTTGTGAAAACGAACAAGAATTGATCACTTTGCCAGGCTGCTGATCTCAAATAGAATCAATGCCTCAACCTACAACCAGGACAGATTATTAGAAAGCCATAGTGTTTGGAATCATGGCCAGGTGGATCTCATTGCCTGAGGTTCTAGATTAGGATTGTTAACCCAGGACAATCAGGGAGCCCTAGCTGACAGATATAAACAGGAGTTAGGGGCCCTCTTGTGGCACAGTGGTGGTGTCCCTACCACTGAAGTGGCAGGCCTGGGTTCAAGTCCTACCTGATCCAGAGGTAATAACATCTCTGAATAGGTTGACTAGAAAAATAGGTTCAATTAAAAATAAACTGAGTTTGAATTGTTTGCATAAATAGTACTATAGAGTGTGACTAACAAACTAAATTCTTATAAACAGGGGATTCAGAAGGTCTCCTCAGTCTAGGGACTGATTCTGAGTTGGCTGGTTGTTGGCCATATATACTGCACATTTAAATAAAGGGTGACTTGGTGATGGGATACTGGCCTCTGTGCAGTTATTTCAAAAGCCTCCATCAATATGAACTTTCCCCCTCTCAGTAACACATTCCTTCACCATTTAAACAATTGTGAACCCCTCAGCACTGGAGACATGAGAGCAACAACCATCATGGAACTGCAAAACCCAAATGGAATTTCAGAATCAAATCTATTGATAGCAAGAGCGGAATCTGTTATTTTTCTCATTCATTCGTGAGATGCGGATGTCACTGGCTGGTCCAGCATTTATTGCCTGTCCCCAGTTTCCCTTGAGAAGGTGGTGGTGAACTGCTTTCTTGAACTGCTGCAGACCTTGGGGTGTAGGGACACCCACACAGTGTTGTTAGGGGGGGAGTTCCAGGATTTGGACACAGTGATATTGACAGAACAATAATGTATTCCCAAATCATGGTAGTGATTAGCTTGGAGGGGGCGGTGTCCCCATGTATCTGCTGCCCTTAACCTTCTAGATGGAAGTGGTCCCATTTCAAAGACTACCAAAATGAGTTCTAATAATTTTCCAATTGGAAACTGTTTATTTTTCCTTGCTAAATAATCATCTTGTTCATTCTTAGTAAAAATCCCACTCAACCCCAAGAATCAGGCTAATGGACGTTTGATTCCAGAGAGAGTGTTGGGGAAGGACATTTATTTATTCTTGTGATGTGCGTGCCTCTGGCCAGACCAGCATTTATTGCCCATCCCTAAATCACCCAGAGATCAGGTCAGAATGAACCCCGTCACTGTGAGTCTGAATCACAATGTAGGCCAGACCAGGTAAGAATATAGAACATTGAACTCTACAGCACAGGAACGGGCCCTTTGGCCCATGATATTGTGCCAAACATGATGCCAAATTAAATTAATCCCTTCTGCCTGCCCTTGGTCCATAACTCTCTATTTCTTGCATATTCACGCGCTTATCTAAAAGTCCCTTAAACACCCCTATCTTATCTGCCTTCACTACCACCTCCTACCACTCTTTATAAAAAAAAACTTGCCCCTCACGTTTTCTTTGAACTTTTCCCCTCTCACCTTAAATTTTTGCAGTAGGGAAAGCAGAATTCCTTTCCTAAAGGACGTTTTTAACCAGAGGATTTTATTTTACCCCACCCCCAACAATCAATTCAACTGAATTCAACTACCAATAAGATTCAAACCCAGGTCCCCAGCACATTACCTGGGTCTAACAGTAATATCATCACCTTCATTCTACTATACTGTCTGTCAGAACAGACCTGGATGAGGGAACGAGAGAGCACTTGGTATTCACTCAGTCATTTCTGCTCTGAAAATATGTTAATGTCTGTGTCTATCGAAAGCAGATAAGGTTCAGCTCTCCTGAATGGATCATTAAACCCCACTATCTCAGACTATTTTTGGGATAAGTACCAGGAAATTATTAAAACCGACCGAACTGAATCCTGACAAGAGATCACAAGCTTGTGTTTTCAAATAAAACTGCAGGCCTATAACCTGGTATCGTGTGACTTTTAACTTTGTCCATCCTGGACCAACACCGCCACCTCCACATCACGGCCTTTAGAAAAGGCAGTTTTTAAATCAAATGAAAATATGGGAATAAAACCATGACAATTGACAAAACAGAATTCAGGCAGCCAAAAACTTGAACAGATCCCTCAACACTCCTAAACAGACCTGGCTTTCAATACAAACTAGAGTTCAGGTCATGAAAGATTAAGTTTCATTTTATGCAAAACACCTGTGGTTTTATATGTGCTACTTTCTAGCAAGAACAGAAACACATTGTACAGGTCAGTTTCTTTGTCTCTGGACTGCTTTGATGACAAACAGACACTTCAAACAGCATTTTCAAATGTTTCTTTTGCAAGGACTGTGCAGATTTTAAACAAAAAATCTTGCAATGCTCCTGCAGAAACAAGTGGGACTTTTTCAAATTCCTAACAAAGCCACTGTCTGTCAATATTAAATAGCTCTGACTCAACACAAGCACGGTGTAATCCATACCGTTCTCAAAAGTAGAAGCGTCCTGTCATTTCTGTTATCACACAATCATTATTCTTACCTTCTTTCTTGTCTCCTTCTGCCTCTCCCTGAAATCTTCCAGGCGTTTTGCCTCGTCCTTTAATGTGACTGCCAGCTGAATGTGGAGATTTCCCATGTTTTCCAATTCTGAAACAATCAAACAGGCATTCTGTCCAAGCTGCCCATGCAAACTGAAGAATTGGTAGATTGTCTTGCTCCTCAAATCTACTCCTAATGGACAGAGGTTTTCCCTGATATCACCATGTGGGGGATTGGAGAGGGGAGATGTTTGAATTTAGTGCTAAAGTGTCCATCTGAGCCGCACAGAATGTAAGCACCCACAACTGAGCCATGTTGTGGTCTGACATTGTCAGTACAGTGTGGAGCTGGAGGAGCACAGCAGGCTGGCAGCATCAGAGGAGCAGGAGAGTTGACGTTTCGGGTCGGCACCCTTCATCAGGTCTGTGGTCTGACGTTGACCAGTTGGTCACATAAATGGTCACACTGCCCTCTTGCTTAGCCCTCACTGCTGCCCAGTGAACTCTGCTGAGAAAAATACATGTAAAAGAAAAGCAGCTCACAGCAAAATGGGAGCCTTCTTGCCACAGTTGATCTGCAACTAATCCAGCTAGAATAACTCAATGCACTGCTTTATTAAAAGAAAAGTAGTATTTGGGATAGATTGGAAAACAAAATCCCAGCCTCTCCTGGTTTCAATGGGGAATCAGACAATGTCCTGAAGCAGTATGTACATACCTGGTTCTAGCACAAAGCCTGGCAGCTTAAAATGGAGGCCATTCAGACCACTAAGTCCACGCTGGAGGGCTGACCTGGTTCAATTGTGGACAACTTTCTTGACACCAAGGAGATTGAAAATTAGGAGTTAAACTGAAAATGAGGAGCAGGAAGGTAATGGGTGATATTAAACAAAAGTGGGAAAACCCAATTTTCAGTCAGGGATTTGCAAGCAAAATTCAGGGGCAAGAGTGGAGAACTGTCTCTTTTACAAAGTTGGATTCCGAGTGGTGAAGGCCCATTAAAACCTATAACAGGGATTCAGAATTAGTTGTATTTTCAGAATTAATTTCATTTTTGGGAGGAAAATGGATTGGCAAAGGAGCGTTTGAGACAAAGGAAAAGAGAGATGAATCTTTTAGATGTAATAACTTTGCACCGTTCCTAAAACGTTTATTCTTGTTTTAGTCTCAAAGTTCTGATGACACCCATAATCCACCCAAGCTGAACTCATGATTTATGTCATGTAAAGATATGAAGGCCAACATTAGCATCTCTAGCTGAGACAAGCTAAATAAGTAAAAATCCCTGAGACCTTCTGGTTTGCAAGGATTAACAGTGCATTCAGTGGTGCCCTTGGCTTACTCAATAGTTCTGGGTCAGAAGGTTGTCCATTCAGATATCCACACCAGGGCTTGAGTCAATAAGATTCCATTGGTGAACACAGTACGCCATTCAGCTCCTCAAGCCTGCTCCATGACTCAACTAGATCATGTCTGATCTTCTTCCTCAATGTAATTCTCTCACACTATTCCCATCTCTTGATACATTTAATATCTAGAAACCTATTGACCTGTTTTGGACATGCTCAAACATTGAGCTTCCACAGTCCTCTGGGGAGGGAAGTCCAAAAATATTTACCACCCTCTGAGTGAAGAAATTCCCCCTCATCTCAGTCCTAAACAGCCAACACGTTATTCTGAGACTGTGTCCCCTGGTTCTGGATCTCCCATCCCAGGGGCAATATTCCGTCCCATATCTAGCCTGTAAGAATTTTGCGCGTTTCAATGAGATCAGCAGTGCAGTTTCATGTCTGCGATCAGGATACAAATTCCTGCAGCTCACAGTAACTGGGTGTGAGATTCAAGTGATAAAAATAACCATTCTTAGATCAAGATGATATTTACATCTAATACCATTAGAAGAATCCCATTAAGGTAAAAGTAACGTATGTGACATTAAAACAGGTTCAAATCTGTACTACTTACGTTGCTTTAGACTGTCAAAGGCTATTCGTAGAGTACTGGAAAAGAAACCAAAGGAGACATCATCAATAAAGTTACATGTCTTAAAAACCCAGCTCTTTTGCCAAGCTTCTAAATAATATCTCCTTATGCAGGTCAGTGTCAAATTCTGTCCAAATTGCTCTTGTGAAGCACCCTGGAATACTTAATTGTATTAAAAGCACTCAGGAGTACAATGTATTTTTTAAAGCTTAGTACATTTTTCAATGAAGTTTCACAATCAAATATTTTCTACCTTTCCCCTAATGACGGAACGATTCTCCTTACAGTAAATCTCTCACAGTTGCGCACAGAAGTTTGAGCATTGGCTATGCAGTGTGTTTAAAGTGACTTTGTGATTGGTAAGTCTCTTGACTCTGGATTTTGTACTTATTTGTTGAAGGGAATGTGGGTGTTGCTGGCTGGGCCAGCATTTATTGCTCGTTCTCAATTGCCATGGAGAAGGTGACGGTGAAAGAACCGTCTTCCTGAACCGCTGCAGGTTGACCTACAGTGCTGTTAGGAAGGGACTGCTAGGATTTTGACCCATCAGCACTGAAGGAGCAGTGATATGGTTCCAATCCAGGATGGTGTAGAACTCTGACAGCGGTTTGGTGGTGGTGTTCCTATGTTTCTACCCCCTTTGCTCTTCTAGATTGGTTGCACATTTAGGGGTTTTAAGTCTACGCCAGACAGAAATGCATCATCGTGTCTCACACTCAGGTGAGTACAGAGGTCCTGCATGGTTATAAAGTATTATCCTTTAGAAGAGAGGTGTACCTGCGCCCAATGAAGATGGGGGTGATGTTGAGGATGTGTGGGATCAAATGGGCAGAGATCATTTTTCATCTGAACTCATCTGGCGTTAGCTGTGGGAGACAGCTGACATTCCCAGCTCTCCACTTCACTGACAGTAATAAGGTTCTATACTTAAACCTGTTTCAGCAGCGCATACACATTAGCGGGTGACCCAGAGACCAGGGCAGCATAATGGCTCATCAGTTAGCACTGCAGCCTCACAGCACCAGGGACCCAGGTTCAATTCCAGGTGACTGTCTGTGTGGAGTTTGCACATTCTCCCTGTGTCTGTATGGGTTTCCTCCCACAGTCCAAAAATGTGCAGGTTAGATTGGATTGGCCATGCTAAATTGCCCATAATGTCTGCGGATATGCAAGCTAGGTGGATTAGCCATGGGGACTGCAGGGTTACAGGGAGATGGTAAGGGGGTGGGCATGGCTGGGAAGGTCCTTGGAGGGTTAATGGGCCAAATGGCCTACTTCCACACTGTAGGGATTCTATGACCACAACTTTGAACTAACCTGCTACAATTACATTCTTTTAATCAACATTTCCATTCATAGAAACCAGAAATTCATAGAATTTACAGCACTGACAAAGACCATTCAGCCCAACTGGTCCATGCCCAGCATTCAAGCTCCACTCCTGTCTCCTCCCAACTTTTCTAATCTAATTATCAGCATAACCCTCTATTCTCTTTTCCCTCATTTATCTATTCTCCTCTTAAATGCTTCTAAACTATTTGTTAAACCACTCCCTGCCATAGTGAGCTCCAAATTCTTGCTGTTCCTTGAATGAGAAGGATGATTGGTATAGGGAAAAAAAATCAACTTTTGTGCAGTGAAGGCTGGTTAACATTGTTCAGTTAGATGCAAGTCATGTTGGAGCCATAGAGTTTTACAGCACAGAAAGAGGCCCATTCAGTCCATCATGTCTGTGCTGGTCTTCAAACATCCATCTATTCTAATCCTATTTACCAGCATGGACTCCTTGCCTTGTGGCTTTTCCATTTCTAGCACTCATCTGAATTTGTCTTAAAAGTCTTGATGGTTCTTGCATCCACCAGCCTTTCAGGCAGAGTTCCAGACACCTACAACCCACTAGGTGAATACAATTTTCTTCCAATCCTTCCTAATTCTCCTGTTCCTGTGTCCCTTACTTGGAAGAGATTCTATCTATCCTGCCTATGATCCTCAGAACAATGTACACCTCAATCAGATCGCACCCAAGCCTTCTCTGCTTTTTTTAAATATACATTTGTGGGACATGGGCATCTCTGGCTGGGGCAGCATTTATTGTCTGTCCCTAGTTGCCCTTGAGAAGGTGGTGGTAAGCTGCCTTCTTGAACTGCTGCAGTTCAGGGAGGCAATGGTCTAGTGGTATTATCGCTACACTATTAATCCAGAGACCCAGGTAAAATTCTGGAGACCTGGGTTCGAATCCCACAATGGCAGATGGTGGAATTTGAATTCAATAAAATATCTGGAATTAAGAATCTAATGATGACCATGAATCAAACCCATCTGGTTCACTAATGTCCTTTAGGGAAGGAAACTGCCTACATGTGACTCCAGACCCACAGCAATGTGGTTGACTCTCAACTGCCCACTGGACAATTAGGGATGGGCAATAAATGCTGCCTAGCCATCGACGCCCCCATACCATTAATGAATAAAGGGGAAAAAAAAACCTGCTGTGGGTTGACTCACAATGCCATTACGGTCATTAGTGCTCCAAAGAAAACCACCCCAGCAAATCCAGTTTCTCTTCAGAGATGAATCTCTCCAGCCCAGGCAACATCCTGGTGAATCATTTCTACACCCTCTCTAGTGCAATTACGCCCTTCCTACAGTGTGGTGACCAGAACTGTACATAGTACTCCAGTCTAACTGGTTGCTGGGAAATCATTCAAAAGGCTGGTGTGTACTATGCAACTGCGGAGTTCTTGCAACACAGTGGGTAGTGTCCCTGCCTCTGAGCTAGAAGCTCCAGGTTTGCATCCCACACCAGGACTTGATGGTCAAGAAAGGTATGTTCACAATACAGCGAAACAGGATAATGCAGAATTCCATCTGTTGATAACAGGCTAGTGCCTATTTCAGTAAACAATTAGCTCTCGAAACAATGTTACCATCTAATTACATCTGAAGGGATGCCCAAGACCCAATGGAACAAGGGAACAGGCAATGGATATATTGATTTAAGGTTAATGGGCGTGAATTGTTGTATACATTTTGGGATTTCGTAAACAGTGAACAGTGACTTACAGAGTGTGCTTAACAGATGTAAAGTGCTCACTAAAAAGTGTAGACCTGAATTCAGTTCAAAACTACCTCTGCAGTGTAAAACTAAATGAACATGCTTTGTCAGCTTCACGCAGTACAAGGTGTTAAAAGAGAGAATGAGAAGTGCACTCAATACCAGTATTAGGCACAAAAACAAAAAAACAGTCCTTCAGAAGGGTCACTGGACCCAGAATGTTAACTCTGATCTCTCTCCACCGATGCTGCCAGATCTGCTGAGTTTCTCCAGCAATTTCTGTTTTGTTTCTGATTTCCAGCATCCGCAGTTCTTTCTGTTTTTTGACCAGTATTAGGCCATCGGGTTAATAATACGTGAAACATTAGGAAGGAGTATGTGATAATTGGGTTGTGGAGTTAGCTTTAGTCCTCCCTAGGAGAGTTACTCAGAGAGCTGGAGCTGGGAGACAGTTTCAACTTCATGGATTTCAAAACAAAATATTGTGAATAATGTCATTTTAAAACACATAACCAGATCCTGCAGAGCTCCCTTATTTCTAACTATTGATCCCTATGGGCTTCTTCAAAGCAGGAATTTTTAAATTCCTCCCTGTGGGATAGGGTTCATTTCTGATACTGAAGGAATTTTTCCAAACCTTGGAGACACTTACCCCAAATTCCAAAAGACGGCATCAAGCAACCACAATAAACAGTGGAATAACTAAAAAAAAATTCAATAGCAAGCAAAGGTAAAGTTGCCATAGTCCTGGAGGATCATAGCTTAGAGAGAGATGACTGTTGATGGTTTAACCTGGGGGTCACCATGCCTCAGGCAAAGGGGTGAGCTTGAAAAGGTGGGACCTCCATGATAACCCTAGCCTGTATGGGAGGGAGTGTTAGTTAACTGGATGGCTGATTTGCAACATCGAGCGAAGCCAGCAGAGTGAGTTTAATTTCTGTACTAACTGAGGTTACCACGAAGACCCCATTCTCTCCTCACCTGAGGCGTGGTGACCCTTGGGTTAAACCCCATTGCCTCTCTCTGGTAAAGAGAGTGGGACTATGGTGACTACCTGGCTAGCAACAGGCACAGTGGTGAGTTAACAATCACAGAAAGCCAACTAAAGATGGACAGATGTCTGATATTCTCAGGGATCCACTGCATTCCCAGGGAATCCTCATTTCTGAAACTTGTTTCTCGTTTGTCACATGATCGCTTTGTCCTCTTGATCAATGTCAAATATGGGATGCCTAAATAGCCAAATTCATCTGAAATTGGCAATCTGAAATGCACAGGTTGGAAAAAACTGAGATGGGAAATCCAGAGATGGAAATTGCAGCAACATTTCAGCAGGTAAACCCGTGGGACAGAAGGGCAGGGCTTCATGTGACAAATTAAGATTATATGACCTAGGAGAAGGAGTGGGCAATTCTTGAGCCTGTTCCACCCTTCAGTAAGATCATGGCTGATCTGATTGTGGCCTTGGTTCCACTTTCCTGACTACATCAATTTCCCTGACAAACTTTAAATCCTTCCTCATTAAAAAATCTATCCAACTCAGCCTTTAATATATTCAATGACCCTCTCTCCACTGCTCTCTAGGAGATAAATTCCTCCTTATTTCCATCGAAGGAGAGTTCTTGTCTTTAACTGTGTCCCTTCTAAATTTCCCAGAGATAGGAAACACTGTCTTGACATCGCCACTATCAAGCCCCATCAGAGAATTAAGTGCTTCAATAAGGTAATCTCTCATCGTTCTAAACAATGAAGATCCCACTTTTCCTCATTCTGTTTGTCTCAGAAATCAGCTGAGTGGATTTTGTCTGGGCTGTTTTCATCATTGTATCAGCCAATCCCTGCTTCCTCGCCAAATTAAATAGTTCAGACTGAAAACTGAAATTGCTTTCAGTCCAGCCATGAACATGGGAAAATCGTTAATGGGGTTAAGTAACCCTTCCACTGGGACTCTGTTGAGAGCAG